TAATGTAAGCTCAAGGTAAACAATGGTGGGGTAAGAAATTTCATTTTCAAAAAATTGTCAGACACACTACAAGTTCATTGTCGACACAGTTGCCTTCAATAGCGTGTATGACCTCCAGCTGCCTCAATGCATGCTGAGATACGCCGCCTCATCGATGACATCAGTCTTCTGATGACGTGGACTGGAATCCGTTGGCAGTCGTTTCTCAGGGCCTGCTGCAATTCTTGTCTGTTGACGGGAGGCTGATGACGTGCTCTAATCTGTCTGTCAAGATGGTCCCACATATGTTCAATAGGATTCATATCGGGTGCGTGGGCAGGCCAGGGCAAAACGTCAACGTTCTGCTGGTTTAGAAAGTTCCGAGTCAGTCTTGCAATATGGGGCCTGACATTGCCGTGTTGAAACAATGTCCCCTGCAGTTGGTTTTGTCAGAACGGAAGCACAACTGGCTGCAACACTTGGTCTCTGTACTGCACAGCGTTCAGGTTTCCCTGTATAATCACCAAATCAGTCTTCTGATCTCCACAAATACCACCCCACACCATGACACCACCCCCGCCGAATGGATGGACCTTTTGAATACATGCCGGAGCCAAACGTTCCCCTCTGCGTCGATAAACTCGTTTTCTGCCGTCATTTCGAAACAAGTTAAACCGACTTTCATCAGTAAACAGCACTCGAAACCAATTTCTCACTTGCCAGCGTCGAACCTGCCTCGCCCATCGCAGTCTCAGGCGTCGATGTTGAGCAGTCAGTACCATTCCTCGGAAAGGACGATACGCTCGGATTCCAGCAGCACGAAGTCGTCGTAGTACTGTACGTTGGCTAATGGGATGTCCCAACGCTTTTGCTGCCGTCGCCATCGCCGTTACGAATCTGTTTCGCAGGTGAATGAGCCGTATCTGACCGTCTTCCAGTGATGTTGTCACTCGGGGTCGTCCGGTTCTAGGCCTGTCCTGTGTCCTCCCTGTCTGCCTGTACCGTTGAATCAGCCTGGCTACTGTCAATGGTGTACAACCAAACCTTCTGGCAATTTGGACCTATGTTGCCCCCATTTCGACCATACCGATGGCTCTCTCTCTCTGCTTCTGTGACAGTCGTGGCATATCTTTTGTATGCTTTCATCGCGTGTGGTTATACCCTGCAGACGAACGCATTTATACAGCTAACATGCACGCGCAGTTTATACCATAGGCGGGAAACCTGTTTCACAATTTTTTTGTCACCGCACGAGCGCCGTCAAAGGTGGCGCGTTCGGGTGAGGTGTTTTTTGGTACCTGTTCCTAGGCAGTCATATTCCCAATACCCACTTTCCACTTATTGTCGCTGTTTTTAGGAAAATTACAAATTGCCAACCTATACTTTCTTTTGCCGCTTAGTTCACAAACAATACACTTATAATTATTGACCCGTTCAGTCGGATTAAGAAAATCAACGCCAAAGTATATGGTATATGGGGACTTGACGGAACCAATTCATATCAAACTGTTTAAACGTATGATAACTTACTTGCACAAACTAATTTGCCCGGATAGCATAAATAACTAATATAACATTTTGTACCGGAACATTATCTCAAAGCCAGCGGAATATAGAAAAAGAATTACCATGGATTGTGAGAGTTCAAAAGATACTAAATGATGTTAGACTAACTGAAATATTTCATAAACCATACACATGCTCTACAAATTGGCTGGTCTCAAAGGTCGATCAGAGATTTCAGGGTCAGTTTATACAAGAGTGGAATGAGTGAGTGAGTGAGTACTTCATTCCACTTTTGGGAGCACGGGTGGCCCAGCCGCGATTCGCAGAGCAGAGTTGCGTCCCTAAGGCACGCTAGAAACATATGATTGTTCATATTCGATTCCCGGTTCGCCCCGATTATATTTCTAGGTTTCTTAGCACCATACCCGTGCTCGTGGGTTTCACGGAATTGGTAAAACGTCTGAGACCTGCATGCATCACTTCGGGCTTTCCTCCCTGACATGCCGCGATATAACTGGAATACTGTTAAAAACGGCGTTAAACCCAACTCACCCATGTAAATCAAATCCTAGTTTGCCCGCTGAGACTGGCCGATGACAGAATATACGAAGACAAGAAAGACTTTGTCAGCTCTGTGATTCAAAGTCAGTAGATGAGTTTCGCTATCTTTTCTGATGCGGAGCTCTTCTCCAACAGTGAGTATGGTTCTACGCCCCTTCAGCAATATTCCAGCAATATCACGGCGGGGGACACCAGAAATTGGCTTCACACATCGTACCCATGTCGGGAATCGAGCCCGGGTCTTCGGCGTGACGAGCGAACGCTTTAACCACTAGGCTACCCGACCGCCCCCCTCTTCAACAAAGAATTCTGTATATTCCAAAAAAAATAAAAACTACTACTTGTGGCTCAATATTTTTAAACTCTACAAAACTGTTTCACCCAAACGTTTAAAAGATTTAAGAAATGTGTCCAGATATATTGTATATCTAAACTGAAATCTAGGGCGGGGCACGTTGGCAGGTGTGTGTGTGTGCGCGCTACAGAGATGACATTCTGGAGAGACCGTATGCTGGTGCAATCAGAGGGGATTCACCCTCATGGGTGACAAAGCACATAATCGTGCCTCCTTAGAGCACCAGAGTGTCACCAGGCCTAAACCCTATCGAACACACGTGCAACGAGCTGCAGATCGCCCTCTCACAACGCCGTCCTTCCGGCTTCTCTACAGGAACTCGGCAATGCTCTTACTGAAAAGTTGAACAATCTTCCTTTGACAACCACTGAGACACTTATTGGGAGCACGAGACGAGGGTGCCATTCAGTGATCGCAACAAGTGGATCACATACGCTACGGAGAGTTTTTAGTTGTTGTTTTTTTGTTCTGGTAGTTTGTTGTTGTTTGTTGTTGGTTTTTTGTTGTTGTTGTTTGGTTGGTTTTGTTGTTTGTTTTGGGTTGTTGTTTTGTTTTGTTTGTTGTTGTTTTTTTTGGGTGGGGGTAAAATGAATTTGTTTTCGCGTTTCAGTTTTGGTCAGATACCCTCATTATGAGGAGGGTATGCTGACTGATAAATGGTCACATGACATGACACGGATTTTTGTTCACACAATATTGTCTTTGGCTATTTCAAAAGACGCACGTAATAAATATTAAAGTGGTGCTCATTTGTAAACTTTTAGGTGTATACTATCAGGGGGCATCATGTTCGCTCCTGACTATAGCACTTGGGCGACTCTTTAGTTTTTAGTTTGCAGATCCCTAGACCACACCCGAAACAGCTTCTAGAGGAATAAAAAAGACATTAAACATTTTAATTCCCAACTTAACAGTTGTACGCATGAAAGTTTATTTTGACCGACCCAGTGTCATCGGGACATGAAACATGTCTAATCACGGTCCAGTGACGGCACCGCTTCCCTCCCGCTTAATCGTCCGGCTTCCGCCACCATTCGGCAAAGTCCGGCGGTCGTTTGTTGTCCAGACCACATTCATTGAGAATTGGTGACCCGATTTTATTCTCCAGCTGGAAAATCGCAAACTTTTATCATGTATTGATTTGAAATATGTTATATGTTTGCTATCTCATGAAGTATGGAAATGTTTTAGTACGATTGATTTTCGCTACCGCACGAATTTCTTATACTTTGATATTTCTCATGTATTTTTTCATTTTTGCAAACTCAATGGTACAAATCTGGTTGTAAATCTTTAGTACCGTATTCGACGTAATAAGCGCCCAGGGCGCTCTCAAAATTAGAAATAGGGGGCTCTTATTAGAATATTAATTTGAGGAAAGATAAGTTTCGTGGTTTATGCTGACAGCCTGAAATGTTTATGTACGACAGATATTTTTCCAGAATTTCATTGCCCATAATTAAGGGTGCATATAACACACGAGTGCGTATTATACACGAATAAATAAGTCTTGTGTACATTGATCAATCGGAAGGGGTGCTAATTGGGATTGTTCACTAGTCAATATGTTAGCAATTATCGCCGTGGGTGCTTATTAGAGCGGGGCGCTTATTACGTCGAATACGGTAATTCAGGATTTCCTTGATCGGTCAAAGTGACAGACTTTAGTCTTTAAGGCTAGTTTGCTATTCAGGCATTCTTCAGTCTATTTTGTTGTCCGAGAGACTTATTTTAGGAATCTGCACTTTGTCTTTGGGATGACGCGGGGATCAGACACCAGACGTTCAGATCCGGGAAGGCTCCATCCACGAGAGCGACTGACTACGGTTTTACACAGCTTTTCGAAATAAACCAGAAATGGGCTTCACACATTGTACCCATGTGGGGAATCGAACCCAGGCCTTCGGCGTGATGAGCGAACGCTTTAACCACGAGACTATTGCCTGTCATCGTACCCGGTTACGTGGATCATTGCTCACAATATCAATCACTGGATTGTCTAGTTCCAACTTAATATCTTCAGGACACCGTTATGCAGCTGGAATATTGCTGAGTGCAACGTTAAGCTATGCATGTCGTCGTTGTTTTCAAACAGCAAACATAGTACAAACCTAAGTCAATTTAGGAAGGCATTCTTGCATCACGCCGTACACTGAGCTCCAACCAAATTATGGTTTTGTATAAAACAAGAGTGAGTGAGTGAGTGAGTGAGTGAGTATGGTTTAACGCCGCTTTTAGCAATATTCCAGCAATATCACGGCGGGGGACACCAGAAATGGGCTTCACACATTGTACCCACGTCGGGAATCGAACCCGGGTCTTCGGCGTGACCAGCTAACGCTTTAACCACTAGGCTACCCGACCGCCCCTAAAACAAGAGTGAGTGAGTATGGTTTTACGCCGCTTTTAGCAATATTCCAGCAATATCACGGCGGGGGACACCAGAAATGGGCTTCACACATTGTACCCATGTCGGGAATCGAACCCGGGTCTTCGGCGTGACGAGCGAATGCTTTAACCACTAGGCTACCCGACCGCCCCGTATAAAACAAGAGTCATTAGAAGATTGGATAACAATGTTCACAAAGAAAAGCAACAGCATGAATAATTATTTATTATCTTTGATCCTTTCACATATCTAAAAACAAGGACTACATAACTGATTTGTATGTTGATATCAGTTATGTCAAAAATAGCACTGAAATGTAGTCTTTCCATCCAACACTAGATAATTTTAAAGGTGAAGAATCTTTCATGATTGTGAAATGATGAAATGTCAACAACGTATCTATTAATATCTTACTATGAATAACAAGCATGCATACTTTTGCGTTATATCCTTAACAAATCTGTCCCGACGCATCCATTATGAAGCTTATACCAAGTCATGTACAGCTATCATCTAGTATTTTCACACAGCTTGCTAATTGTTGCTTTCCTGAATATAAATGTATGTACAAAATGATACATATCTCAGACAATCAACATCTCACTAGTGGTACACAACAGATCACACAAATGAGTTATCTCCCCTTGACAACTAAAGGAAAACTTGTATATCATGTATCACAGATGAGATGAAAATGAAAAGTACTTCTGAAATGGAAAGTTACACGATAGTTGAGAAATCTTTTAACCCTGACAAATGAACTGAATACTATAAGTAAAATCTGAAAAAGCCACACTCAAATACAACATAAGCGATAGAATGAGTTAGGTATAAATTGCAATGAACAATGTCTTTCAGTTATATCACAAGCTGAGAGAATTGGTTTAATGCCGCTTTGAAAAGTATTCCAGTTACATCACATCACGGTGTGTCAGCTTGATGTGGGAGGAAACCTAAAGTGATGCATGCCCTAGACAATTTCCACTTTGGTGAAACCCAACAGCATGGTGGGTTTTGACAAAAATGAAACATTAATCAGGGCGAACTCGGATTTGAACCCACGATCATAGGATTCAGGTGTGCAAAAGGGACGCAACTCTGCACAGCAAAACTGCAGCGCCTCAGACTAGGCCACCAGAAAACATGGTAAACCACAAGAGGTTCTGGTTCCTTTTCTGTTTTGAATCCCATGACCTGGACACGGCGCTTCCAGGCCAGGGAACGGTAAATATGGGGTTCAACCACCGGAGAAAAAAAATTACCAGTATCATCTTATCTTTCCTAAAATTATTTCAGGTTGATATCAATATTGGAAGTCATCTAATGATAATAATAATGATAACAAATTTGGCATTAAAATCTACACGTCAAGGGGATAAATAACTCTGCATCAATCAATTACAATCATATCGCTATTTTATCATTTCTTCTTTTTAGCTGCAGCATCTGCAGCGATGTCGAATTCAGGATCGCTAATGTTCATCATCAGCGCACTTGCGTTCAGATATACACGGTTGGTGGAGGCGGCAATCTGAAACAAAGTGGGAAAAATATATGGGAGGTATTAGCAATGATTCAAAGGATTCGAACACGCTGGATATACAGACTGTTCCTTTACTTTGGGGTGGGGGGTAGTGATCCATGAAAAGAGAACCAAAAGAGGGGGGTTTCAAAATTTATGACAGTGGGGACAGGGGGGATGACAGCTCTATCTTTCAAATACAATAATTAGGGACTTATTTGCATGTTTTGGAAAATTGTTGGGGTAGGGCATGAAATAATGTTTCAAAAAGCATTCAACAAACAGTCGAAATTTCATGTTCATATATTGAAATTTCAAGGGGAAAAAAATGGTTCAAAAAATTAAAAAGGCTCCCTTAGAACAAAAGCATGAGCATCAAAAATATTATGATTGCCTGCCAAGGGCACTTGGTTTGAATACCAGGATAAATCACTGACAATAGATCATTCAATCTGTATCTGCCAGGTACATTCAACCGTGCCCTAGATGTTTAAGATGTGTTACAAAGGATACCCTCCAAGGGTTAGAATTGGTCTTCAGCAACACATGCTTGTCATAAGGGTGACTAATGGGATCGGGTGGTCATACTCGGTGACTCGGTTGATGCATGTTATTGTATCCCAATTGCCAACATCGATGCTCATGATATTAATCACTGGATTGTCTGGTCCAGACTTGATTATTTACAGACCACCATCATACAGCTGTAGTATTGCTTAGTGCGGCCTAAAGCAGGATATAATGGTCAGGACACTTGCTCTAGCCAGTGTGAATGTTTCAAAGGTCATAGGTCGCATCTTGCACAGATGCAGGGAAGAGATGTGGGAAGTTTATTGGATGGCGATGATCAAGGGACCACCCAGGTAATAATGTGAGTGAGTGAGTGAGTTTGGTTTTACGCCGCTTTTAGCAATATTCCAGCAATATCACGGCGGGGGACACCAGAAATGGGCTTCACACATTGTACCCATGTCGGGAATCGAACCTGGGTCTTCAGCTAGAGGAGCGAACGCTTTAACCACTAGGCTACCCGACCGCCCCTTATAATAATGTAACATGGAGTGAGCGAGTTATGTTTAACGCTGCTTTTAACAGTATTCCAGTTATATCACAGCGTGTCAGCTTACTGTGGGAGGAAAGCCTGAAGTGATGCAGGTCTTAGATGTTTACCACTTTGATGAGTTTTTTTGAAAGGTGACTTGAACCCACAATCACAGGTTTTTGGCATGCCTAAGGGACGCAACTGCAGTGAATTGCGGCACCTTGCGACGACTGAGCCACCTGTGCCCCCTAATGTAACATGGACGTAATGAGAGGAAATACTCACTGTTCTGGCAATATTTTGTGAGGCTCGGATTTTCCTCAGCTTCAGATAGCCAGGATTCAACTGAATAGCTGCACCGATGTAGGCGAGTCAAGGGAGATAACTCATGGATCAATATTTCCACAACAGCCAAGCAAAATACCTTACAAAAACAATATTTATGTCTGCCACTAAATACTCCGGAATCTCTTCTTAATGACTCAGAAGTGTGCCATGGCAATTGTATATATGTCCGGCCTTACAGGGTGTATCTATACTAGCGAGAGCACCCCAAGATTTCAGACAATGTCACCTCATTCTGCAAAAAAAATCAAAAGTGAGGGATTCAGAACTTTATTGCATTTCCATAAAAAAAAAAAACTTTACTTCTAGTTCATTCATGATCAACACCAAGAACAAGAAATTCAAACAATAGTCATATGTTTTCCTTACACTCAAGACTGTGCCCAATTGTGCAGATAATGGTAGGTTTGGGCCTGCTGATGTAAGGGAGATAACTCTCTCTAAGCAGAGCTTATTCATTTACTGGTACATGTAAATCAGCTCGATGTTATTAAGTGTTGTATTGTGGTAGCTTTGTGTTATGGTTATGCATGAAAGTGATTGGAATGTATCAGTTAAATTAATGGATGATATGAATAACAATGTTTACAACTTCTGTTTACCACTATTTAGAGTACAGAACTTTTCAAGGACTCAGTACATTATAGCACGTTTCATGTACTCCAAGAAATAGTCAATCAAATTATTCTTAAATTCGAGTTCTTTTCAAGCGCATATGAACCCTGCTAGTGTCAATTTCCACAGGTTCCTGGGTAGATAAGCATTGTCTCCACCGAGTTCCTAGGTAGTAGACGAGCCTTGTCTCCACCGAGTTCCTAGGAAGACAAGTATTGTCTTCACCGAGTTGAAGACGTTGTCCCATACCCAAATCCTTCTGTCATCAGATTACTAAAAATGTCGGTCATGGAAAACTGCAGGTTTTCCCGTCCCCACCCCCCAACCCCTCCCTGTGTGCCCATCATGTCTCGTGTACCATATCTCGGCACAGAGAAGTGTGCAGGCAATAGATCTATGTCCGGCCTTACAGGACGTGCTGGTACTCACAGCATCGCCCCAAGATTACAGACAATATGGTTACTCTGGTTTGACGCAAAGATTTGAGTCAGAACCCGCAGTTTTCTACATTACACCTTGTTATCATCATCTGGCAGAGGAAATCGAGTGTTAGGACTACATCTGTTTTCACCAAGTGTATCTCGGGAGTTTATGTTAAACTTATCTGTACTCTAAGCCTTTTCCTTTCACTCTCCGGGCGAACGTTCTACCACTCGACCACAGAGGCGGTCTTACTGCAACACAGGGGTCTGAATGCTATTTTCACGACCCTCCTGAGGTGATACAGAGCCTATTTTATTGAAGTATGCAAAGTGAGTGAGAGTTGGGTTTTTACACCTCTTTAAACAATATTCCAGTTATATCGCGGCATGTTAGCTTAATGTGGGACCAAAGCTCAAAGTGATGCAGGTCCCAGACGTTTACCACTTCGGTGAAACCCACAAGCATGGGTATGGTGCTGACAAACCTAGAAACATAATCGGCGAACCGGGATTTGAACCCACAATCATAGGTTTCTGGCATGTCCAAGGGACGCAACTCTGCACAGCGAATCGCAGCACCTTAGACGACTGGGCCACCCGTGCCCCCGAAGTATGCAAAGCTCTGGTAGTATACGTGTTGGATAAGGCAGATGATGCAATGTTGTAAAGGATATCAGTTTCGCTGCCTCAGCTTCTCCCTCTGATTGGACGATCTTCTGCTGTCTCTCCTGCTTGGCCTTCTCTACGATGAACTGGGCACGCTGGGCCTCTTGCTGGGCTACCTGTCAAAAAGTGAAAGATTTGGTTGGTTTGTTGTTTAACGCCGCACTCAGCAATATTCCATCTATATGATGGTGGTCTGTAAATAATTGAGTCTGGGCCAGACAATCCAGTGATTAATATCATGAGCATCGATCCACGCGATTGGGATCGATGACATGTATCAAGCAAGTAAGCGAGCCTGACCACCTGATCCCGTTAGTTGCCTTTTACGACAAGCAAAGTCACCTTTTACGGCAAGCATGGGTTGCTGAAGACCTGTTCTACCCCCGATCTCCATGGGGAGACAAGCATGGGTTCCTGAAGACCTATTCTACCCGGAATCTTCACGGGTCCAAAAGGTAGGCGAGGTGAGGTGAGGTGAGGTGATTGAAATGACGCTATTTTTCCACATTACACAAGGGCATGCTCAAAGCACTATTACCCCGGATCATTTCAGTCTCAGCTCAGTTGGGAGTACACAACATAGGCGCGATGAATGGGGTTTCACATCATGCTCAAGATTATTGCACTTATATATATCGGTGTCTTTATGTGCATGTACTAGTCCGGACTAATGCTGGTTTTAAAATGCTAGTTTTTGCCCCATGCAGAGTAACAAGAAGTACCATCTTTTAATGGTTGGTTTGTTGTTTAACGCCGCACCCAGTAATATTCCAGCTATATATCAGTGGTATGTAGATAAATGAGTCTGGACCAGATAATCCAGTGATTAATATCATGAGCATCGATCCACGCGATTGGGCTCGATGACATGTATCAACCAAGTCAGCGAGCCTGACCACCCGATCCCGTTAGTGGCCTTTTACGACAAGCAGTCACCTTTTATGGCAAGCATGGGTTGCTGAAGACCTGTTCTACCCCTGATCTCCACAGGGAGACAAGCATGGGTTCCTGAAGATCTATTCTACCCCGGATCTTCACAGGTCCTGTTGAGGTATGAAGACATACAACCAAGACACCAAACCTCACCATTGAATCCCAAGTCGCATATTTCAGCAAGTTTCTAACCACACAAAAAAGCTGTGGGGGCATGGGATAAGAATCCCCATAGGAGCGTCACATGTTCTGTCCCAGTATTTTCATGGGAGCCCCGCACATGTTCTTCCACGCACGTACCTGTTTAGCCTCCACAGCTGCCGTGTACTCACGACTGAAGCTGAGTTCAGTGATGGATACATCGTCGAGGATCAGGTTGAAGTCCCTTGCTCTCTGCGTTAACTCCTTCCTAATCAACAAACTGACCTGCTGACGCTGGGTGATAAGCTGGGATGCATTGAACTTGGCTACTACACTTTTTAACACCTGGAAAGGAATTTAATTAAAAAAATAATTCTTACAGGCACTTTTTGCCCCAGTAACAGCTGATAGTAAAAGAGGTTAAAGTGTGTGTGTGCGAACTACTTGATAAGACAAATACAGATTCTTTGCCTGCTTAACGCAGTTAATCAGGACCAGACAATCCAGTGATTGATATTATGAGTAACAATCCACCCAAAAAGGGTACATTGACATGTTATCAACACAAAGTCTGACTACCTGATGTACTTGGTTTTTTGTTTGTTTGTTGTTTAACGCCGAACTCAGCAATATTCCAGCTATATGACGGTGGTCTGTAAATAAATGAGTCTGGACCAGACAATCCAGTGATTAATATCATGAGCATCGAGCCACGCAATTGGGATCGATGACATGCATCAACCAAGTCAGCGAGCCTGACCACCCAATTCCGTTAGTCACCTTTTAGACTAGCATAGTCGCCTTTTAGACTAGCATAGTCGCCTTTTACGACTAGCATAGTCGCCTTTTACGGCTAGCATAGGATGCTGAAGGCCTATTCTACCCCGGATGTACTTAGTTGCCTTTTACGACCAGCAGAGGCTGCTACAATGCTGGACATACTTTCATAAGTGAGAATTGGGGCATAACTCCGCCTTGAACAACATTTCAATATCACAGCAATTCAGGTGAATGTGGGAGGAAAGCCAAAAATTACACAAGTTATCGACATTTACCACTTTAACATTACATAAACATCCAGTAAGACAGAGCTCCAGATATGCTTTTGGTGTTGTGGGTATTTTACCCATGCATCATAAAATCATTGGGTATCAGTAATTCTATCTGGGTATTCAAATTTCTGTTACCCACTAATTTTTAAACATGTGGGAATTTAAGTTAAATATTTAAAAACACTATTCATCTAGTCCCTGCAAACTTATCATGTGGGTTCGAGAGCTTTATAGGACTCAAAAATACCGCGATACTAGTTTGGCAAGGTTGACGGAATGTCCGTATATAACTTCGAAATAAGTTGCTGATTTGCTAATCGATTACGCAGGGCTACTTCACAATATTGATGATACGCACTAGTTATATTTTTATAGCGTATCTGTATTGTTCGTTGCGTATTTGATACGCTTTGATTTTATTTTACTGCGTGTTTCTGCATTTCTGATGCGTATTTTACACAGATACGCAGCTTATCTGGAGCTCTGAGTAAGACTTTAGTCCTTGCTCTAAATTTTAATTCCGTCTAGAAAGCTGAGCATATTAATATGTAAATATTAACACAAAACTACTGAAATTATGTCTAGTGACAAGTTTGGGCTGATAGACAGGAGACTATCATTGACGGAGTGTCCTCATCAAAACATTCTCCGCCGCACTCAGCAATATTCCAGCTATACGACAGAGGTCTGTACACAATCAGTGTGGGCCAGGCAATCCAGTGATTGAGATCATGGGCATAGATCCACGAAATTGGGATACGATAAGTTAAGAGCATGATGAATGTCAATTTCAAATATTGCAAAATACAGAACATGTGTTGAAACAAATTTTGTAACAATCTGAACAAAAATGACAAATGACCTCAAAACATGCAAAAAGTCTTTTTCAAAATGGCTGCCATAAAGTTTCAGCTTTTTGCTCAAGTTGGTTTCTGAGAAGATTTTAAAAAAGGACAACATAAGCCCCAACATAAGCACACTTGATTTTTGAGTGAATGAGTGAGTGAGTGAGATTTTATGTCGCTTTTAGCAATATTCCAGCAATATCACAACGGACACCAGAAATGGGCTTCACACATTGTACCCACGTCGGGAATCAAACCCCGGTTTTTGGCGTGATGAGCAAACGCTTTAACCACTAGGCTACCCGACCGCCCCTCTAATGTCTTGAACTTAAATGTCTTGAGCTACCCGACCGCATCACTTGATTTAAGAGGAAGGGGCTCCATATGAAAGTTACATGGCAGCATGCTTACCTCATTGCATATTGATGGCAACACTCTCTCATCGAAATCTAATCCTAACTGTCTGTATATGTGGGGCAAGTCTTTCTGATCTGGCCGAGACAACACTCTCAAAGTGATGTTGACCATCTGTAAATCTGAAAAAAAGATGGACAGAAATCACTTGGTATGAACACAGAAAGACAGTTGCAGCCACTCACAATCTCATTAAAATCAGATCTTAGTTCTTGCTACCGCTAAACAAAGTTCTGAGGACATCCCATTAGGGGTCACGTCAGAACTACCTTTCATCCGACCAATCAGAGCGTCGCTTACCAGATCATGAAAGTGACAGTCGGAATGTGATTTCTAATCATGCTGCCTCGAAAACGTTAAAACAGGGTTTTCCGAACGATAGATACGGGCTTAAGGACTGAATCTATACAATCTAGACCATATATTAGCCATTCTTGAACTTTCTTTTGTGCAGGTTTCAAATTTTTAAGCAAGAATTTGTCAAAATATGTTTCGAAGCTTAGTCACAAATTTTAAATTAGTGCCATAAAGCACAAGAAAACTGCTTTCTGATTGGCTAATGTCGACTTCTTGTCAGTAATTCCATTGGTCGGTCAGAGTTTGCGAAAGGTTGGTCTGACGTGACCCGTAAAGGGATGTCCTCAGATCTTTGTTTAGCGGCAGCGAGAACTAAGATCTGAATTTAATGAGATTGCAGCCACTCAATTCAGGTAAGGTGAATTTTGCATTTCTGAAAACCCAAAGATCCATTCCTGTGGTTGTAGCAATCTCAAATTACACCCCCAGTGATTTTCAATGACCAGTCAAAAAGTCAATAAGGAAAAAGGAAATGGGTAGGGGAGGAGGACATGAAGACTATTTCGTCAAAAAGAGTGTCGAGGGCTTTTTTAGCTGTCAGTTTTTTCAATGTTTAATTTCTCGTTAACTATCGTAATCAATCATGTCAATGGGAGTGGATACCATGTTGTTGATATCGCCATCCCAAAATTGAGGCACTGTTTGAAACCAGCGAGTTCGCCATCAATTCTCACTCTTAAACATACATTTGCTCGTAAATCACTGAAAATGATTTCGTTAAAATGATACGTCTCAGGGACCTTTTAATCATTATCGCCAGCCATTCTGAATTTTAGGGTATTTTCTCAGAGAAAGGGTACCTTTTCCTCATTGGAAATCTTGTGTTGAAGTTTACAGTGGGGTGGGCGGAGAGTGGAAAATATTTCGTAAATTGCCTGAAACCTAACAGAAACCCAACACCTTGACGGGGAATAACTGGTGAAATACAAAGCAAAGTACTACCCCTTCCTTCAACTGTTACCATGGTTACTTACCTTTGCTGCCAGTGGGTGATGTTATTTTTCTTGGACGTGAGCGAATATCATAGATGATGGGATACTGAAACCACGGCAGTCTGAAAGGACAAGAACATTTCTTATGATAATAGCCTAGCAAAACCAATTTCAACATGCTTAGGAAGGAAAACCTTCAACACAAACTGATCCTAGGTACAGTTACATGCCCCTGTGACAATGACTTCACCAAGTTATCTCATCGTGATTGATTGGTGGAGTGAACTCTTTATTGCTGTTGATTGGTGTTTGACACAGAGCGATATTCCAGCTTTATAATGTCGGTCTGTAAATAATCTAGTCTGGACCAGACAATCCAGTGATTGACATCGTGATCACCAGCCCACGCAATTGGGATTAAATGACATGCATCAACCAAGTCAGCAAGCCTGACCACTTGGTCACATCTTACGACAAGCATAGTCACCTTTTAGGGTAGGCATGGGTTGCTGAAAACCTATTCTACCCCAGACCTTCACAGGTTGAGTGGACCCTACGGAACAAGGCGAACGGAAGATGTACTCGTATTGGAGCAAATGAGATGAAGTCAGCAAGTCGTTTAGCACGATTTCACAAAAAACTGATTAAGTTGGATCCCTGTTAAATGTGCTTGTTGAGTGTGAATACCTATGTTCTAAATATGTTCGATGCAAAGGTCTGATAAAAAACCCTCTCAACTTAACTACTGTATTTGACGTAATAAGCGCCCCTCTCTAATAAGTGCCCATGGCGATATTTGCTATTGGCTAGTTAACAATCCCAATTAGCACCCCTTCCGATTCATCAATGTACACAAGACTTATTTATTTGTGTATAATACGCACTTGTGTTGTATCCACCCTTAATTATGGGCAATTAAATTCTGGAAAATATGTCTGTCATGTATGATACGCACATACTTTTCTTTTGTATCATAAACTACGAAATTTACAATCTTTCAACTCTTTCAATTTTCTCAACAAAATTATATTCTAACATGAGCCCCATATTTCTAAAAAATTTGAATTTTCTACGTCGAATACGGTATGTGTACCTGAAATGGAGACCCTCTGGGTAAATGTCATTCTGTACTCCACCGATTCTGCTGAAGATGATAGCTCGGTGACCTCCCTCAACTGAAACATCACAATTATACACCATAAATGGCAATTTCATAAACTGTTATACAGCACAAAACTTAAAATCTATGTTTACTAGGGCAGGGACGAGTCCAAATTTACTACCCAGGCACCCTACTCCCTATTACCCGACCCTACCCGGGTACCCACTGCAGGTCTCAAAATGTCTGATTGGGAACATTATTAGCAAAGCCCGGGCAAAGCGTATTTAGATACATGTACTAAACAATCTGGTCATTCATACACTGAAGTTTAATTAAGTTATATCTTTATTCAACCATATGAAAAATCAGAAGGAATGGCTGCACAGTCAGGAAGAAATTCAAACATTAGTGACTTGCAGAGTCTGGAAGGTAATTTAAGGTACCGACGTTTACTCAAACACCTGAAAAACTATCGGACCTACTCAAGTCAAAGTTGGTATGAGATTACTAAACAGTCATACATAATAACTGGATATTACATTTAAAGACTATCGGTGCATGAATAAAAATCTATCTATTTAGCTATCACAACTATTTATCAACAACCAGACCTGTTCGTCCCAGGTGGAACTAGCATTCATTGCAACAGCCATCTGCATAATGCTACCCCTGCGTCACAGGGCCATATGACACAGTTGAACCAATCAACTTAACTCGAAAGGTTGCACGGGAATCATGGTTACAAGAATACGGTGTTAGCATTGGGCGTCTCAACGTGAGTGATTCCTGTGCACCCTTTCGAGTTGAGTTGATTCAACTGTGTCATATGGCCCTGTGACAATTTCCTAAAAAGCAGCCTAACACAGTAAGGATAACCAAGTATCACCACTTTTTAGAATGACCAAACTTCTTTTCCACTATTATTTCTGTCAACTTCAACATGTTGAATGAACACGGATGGTTCTCCACGGATAATGAAGATCTACCAACCACTTGTAACACCTACTATTCGGCTACTTGCCATAGTTTAATAAAAGCCATAACTTTCATTGTCATTTCAGGAAATCCTCTCGCCCGAAATATGACAACTTTCTGGATTGAACGGTTTGAATGATGTAACACTTCATCATCTAATATTTCTTTAACACGTTTCCAATCATAGCCACTGCCATTAAAACACGTATTTTGCAAACGTAATAGCCTTACGTAGTGTAAAAGGCGAGGTTAGACCACTGGCCACAAACAAATATAAAACTGAAGAAATGTTGATAATGAAAATTGAACTTCAAGAGGTCGGTGCTGAGCCAACAGCGGTCAAGGTAACTTGCCTGTATAAAGTGCTTGAGTGACGCCATATGCAAGGCCACCTGCAGCTGCCAGCAAACCAATTCCTGCTCCAGCTCCTTTTCCACCCGACCTTAACCTCCCCATCAAATCTCCAAGCTTTTTAGGGTCCATTTTCCCTTATTTTCCGATGTGAACTAACTCACTCGGTGAAAATGGCTGAAACACATGTGCTACATACGTACTATTTTCCTCAACACAAATGAAACAATTACCTTTTTCGTCATTTTGTATTCTGCGAGATAATGCCAAGACTTATTATTAAAACATCATATGTCTATGAACTATCTTTCTATTTGATTTTAAAATCCATCGTTATTGAAATATCGTTTTTAAGAAAGAAAAGATCGAGTCACTGACCTTTGTATAAAATAAGTTTTAAAGAGTTAGTACATTACGCTTGACCTTCGCGTTACTCCTTACAGTTGCATTATGTGAAGAAAATGCAGTTGATATAATAGACATACCCTGCAAAGGAGTTTTACAAAGAAAATCAATAACATGTTTCACGACAGTTACGCCCCTTTACATCTTAAAATATGAACAGTCATTTAGGTTAAGTCAAAGTGTAATATATAGGTTCTTGAAAGCCATGGCACTGCTGAAGAATATGTCTTCAGCTTTAAGAGTTTTGTCGGTCAGGCTTCAGCCCCTATTGATCAATGCTGAATCAAATACAAGGCTTTTACTACAGTCATCTCTCCAGTGTAAATGTAGCAGGTGCGTGTGTCTACCAAAAGTATGTTGTCAGTAAACTGTAACTTTAGAGCAGTCAACATGGGACATCGGATTTTTATTTTGTACCAGATGATATTTTTACATGGATTGTTTTCATTTTGGCCAAGTAATTATCATGAAATCGACAGAAGATTTCTTTATGAGAAATGGGAAACTTTTCGAACCACCACTGACATGTAGCCTGTCATATATTTTGAGTGACTTAAAATTACATTTAGAGATTGCCTCACATTACACTCGGCGTACTCGCTCCCGTGCAGCAGTGTCTGGAACTAGATTGTAATGGGCTCCACACCATATAGCCTAGCTGTTCTTTATGAAGTCCATTGCTCTATTTCCATGATCAGTGTATGTCTTGAGTAGTGACTATTGAAATTAACGTGAGGGTGAATTAAATGCAAAAAATGCGTGTGGTCTTTGCTCGCATTATTAAACATCGCATTTATATCAACAATAAGACATTTTGGATAGCAGAAATACCAACTTAGACATACGCTGAAAACAAACAACTATGTATTCCACATCAATGTTTATTGAGCAGCACTTGTAAAAAGTACATAAACAATGTCATTCAAACACCAATTACATCCTGTGAATTGATACTGCTCGGGTGAAGACAAGCGTTCAACTCATTCATGTCATCACTGATCACACCTGCAAGTCCAGACAGACGCCACCCAACACGGTGTCTTTGCTCTTTGCGACTGCATCAAAGGCCGACACGAGCCAGCGTGCACGTATTGTTTTAGCTGAAGTACTCTACTCAGTGCTAATAAGCGGTGCTATTTGGTGTGTGATTGGTTTAATGTAAGGTTGGGTTAAGGTGAGGATTCTCCTGTAAACCTGACAGAGGACGTTTTGTTTAGATATAAATCCACTGATGCTTGAGAGGAGGGGTGTCGCATTCATATTGAGTCGCATTTTTGGCAAGGGGCCAGCGGTCGCATTCTTTTGGTGACGCATTAATTTCACTTTTTACAGAATCAGGTAATTAGGGCTGGGACAAGTGTACTACCCAGGTATTTGACCCCCTTTTACCCAACCCTAGACTAATGTCTGATTGGGAATTGAATTGTTTTACCGCAGCCCTGGCAAGAACTGTTTAGATACATGTATAAAACAATCAGACCATGCGTTCATTGAAGTTGACTGAAGCTTTAGCTTTACTCAAACATATACAAGTCAGAAGGAATGTGTGTATCGTCAGAAAGAAATGGGAACATTAGCGACATGTAGTGTAACCACTGAGCTATAGTGAGTTTTGGTCATGAAACAATATATCACATGACTAACCACGGGTGCGGGGAGTCCTGTGGGTACGCGGGTCCTACTCAAGATCCCCCCGACCCGAGTTACCCCTTCCAGCCCTACAGGTAAACAAATATTACAATTTTTATCCACATCATAAGCGACATATATGTAGGTATTTCAATATTTATAGCCATTACTCATTTTTGTTCAAAATGTGGTATCATTTGGAATATGTGTAGTTTGTTTGTTTGTTGTTTAACACCACACTCAGCAATTTTCCAGCTATATCATGGCTGTCTGTAAATAATCCGAGTCTGGACCAGACAATCCAGTGTCATGTCATGAGCATCGATCCACGCAATTTGGATACGATGACATGCATCAATCAAGTCAGAGAGTCTGACCACCCGATCCCGTTAGTCGCCCGTTACGACAAGCATAGTCACCTTTTATTGCAAGTAGAGTTGCTGAAGACCTATTCTACCCCGAATCATCATTGGTCGAATCTGTGTAGTAAGTTGTATGGTTCAACATATGTGGTGTTTTTTGGAAATTGTTTAAATTTTGACCTTGTTTGACTATGATTTTAAGTTCACTTAAAATCTTCACAAAAACAGCTTTAATTGGACAGTAGATGCTAGATTAAGCTACATGGCAATAAACACATAATGATACTTTTGATATGTTATGAAATGTTTGTCTGCACTCAGTAATTCAGGTAGTCCTGCACCATGACCGTGGAATATATTTATTTTATGAAAAAATAATAATCTAGAAATGCATACAAAAGCAAGTCTAGCCAGCTCAAGCTAGCTCTATTCTGAAATCAGCATAGGGAAATTTTTTTTATTTTTAGAGTCAAGAAGGATATTGTGTAATATTAGATTTCAGAGACTAAATGTTAGTCTATAATTCAGGCTTCTGTTTCTTATAATTGCTATAGATTTTTCGTCTTTGCATACAGATGATAGATATGCCATGAAGCATTAAAGTGCAAAGGGACCCCAGCATGCCCAGTTAACATCTTTGAAACTGAAATTTGGCCACTATGATGGGGGGCACGGGTGGCCCAGTCGTCTAAGGCGCCGCGATTCGCTGTGCAGAGTTGCGTCCCTTGGGCACGCCAGAGAATTATGATTGTGGGTTCGAATCCCGGTTCGCCCCGATTATGTTTCTAGGTTTGTCAGCACCATACCTGTGCTCGTGGGTTTCACGGAAGTGGTAAATGTCCGAGACCTGCATCACTTCGGGCTTTCCTCCCACATTAAGCTGACACACCATGCTATAACTGGAATACTGTTAAAAGCGGCGTTAATCCCAACTCACTCACTCACACTCCATGCTTCTCCCTATGATGGCATCATATATTGTTCTGTAGCAGGGCCGTGAATGTGCAATATGGGCAAAAAACACCCAAAAGGTGTGAGATGTTTTATTGTTTTATTCCACAGTACCGCCAATTATTACTCTGGATATGATTCAGATGGTGTCAACTTGTCTCTCACAACAAACACTAAAAAGCAGACATTGAAGAATAATGAAATAAATATGTACAATGGTTGCATCTGTCAAAGTTCAAGACATTAGAGGGGCGGTCGGGTATCCTAGTGGTTAAAGCGTTCACTCGTCTCGCCGAAAACCCAGGTTTGATTCCCGACATGGGTACAATGTGTGAAGCCCATTTCTGGTGTCCCCCTCTGTGATATTGCTGGAATATTGCTAAAAGCGGCATAAAACCATACTCACTCACTCACTCAAGACATCAGAATTAACTTTTTCTTTTTTATATATAACTCAAGGGGAGCTACAGTGCCGTGGTACTATTATCTGAAGATAAACAGCTCATCTGGGTCACTGTGCAAGTAGTTTAATCAGAGATGGAACCTGTACTTTATAAGTATTGTTTTAGTATTAAACAATTCATATTTGATAGCATCTTCCCGAGGCAAGAGAGTTAACTGACTATAAAAGTTCAGTTTCCACCCTTGCCGAACTAGGCTGGTATTATGGAGTTACATTTTGGCTGGACTAACGAGTCTATGCATAGTCCAATCAAAATCAAGCATCAAAATCAAAATCTGGTTCGTAAACAGTCATGCAGATTTCGATCGATTGCAGGATTTGCAAAGCATGTGCACCGCCAACTCATTGTCAGCAGATATTTTCCAAATCCTTTCATGTTTTTAATCAAGGTGCTCACGTGATTTGATCCATTTCGCGATGTAAGACCCGTTTTATCACAATATAGATCTTGGTTATCGATCAGATCGTCTTGACTGGGCGCCACCATTTTGTGAGAAGCAAACGCAAGTGATACGAGAGGTAGAATCTGATTGGTCCATAGGAGAGGCTTAGAAGGGACATACCTGGTAATAGCCACTGGTGGCACTACGATCGAGCCCAGTTATTCCAGCCTAGTTCGGCAAGGGTGGAAACTGGACTTTTAAAGTCAGTTAACTCTCTTGCCTCGGAAAGATGATGCGATAGAGCCTAGGGGATGTTTTATTAGAATGTGTCAGACTTGACAGGTATGAAATTCAATCATTATCTGGATTACCTATGTTTCTTATGTAATCATTGAATTTATTTTTATGTGAACTATCGGAAGTGTTTCAAGGCAAATGTATTCCCTAATTATCCATCAAGTATTAGGGGCAAAGTTGTCTTAGGCGTGCAATTTGCTGTGCAGAGTTGCGTCCCTTGGGCACATCAGAAACCGATAATCATGGGTTTGAACCCCGCTTCACCTCATTATTTTTCTGGGTTTGTTTGTGGGTTTCACCAATGTGGTAAAGATCTGAGACCTGCATCACGTCAGGTTTTCCTCCCACATTGAGCTGACACGCCATTATATGACTGGAATGCCTCTAAAAGCGGTGTTAAACCCAACTCCCTCACTCCATCAAGCAGCAGATAAGAAACAAGTACTGAAGTTGTGTTGTTATTTCTGTTACAGATTCAGTCAGCCAGCACAACTAGCAGGCTTTCACACAAGTATACGTCGTCAAGATCTATCTGAATTTCTCGATGAGAGAAAACACTGGGCAGAAGAAAAAGTCAAAGTTGGTGAGGGTTTTGCAGTTGAGTTATCAAGATTATGTAGCTTAAAAAACATGGTGAAGACTCTTGCTACTTGACTCTTGACCGGTGATCCAGACTTAGGCCAATGTTGTTTTTTTATTAATCAATAGGGGGCATGGGTGGCCCAGTCGTCTAAGGCGCCGCGATTCGCTGTGCAGAGTTGCGTCCCTTGGGCACGCCAGAAACCTATGAATGTGGGTTTGAATCCCAGTTCGCCCGATTATGTTTCTAGGTTTGTCAGCACCATACCCGTGCTCGTGGGTTTCACCGAAGTGGTAAAAGTCTGGGACCTGCATCACTTTAGGCTTTCCTCCCACATTGAGCTGGCACGCCGTGATATAACTGGAATACTGTTAAAAACAGCGTTAAACCCAACTCAGTTATTAATCAATATGCCAAGAGAGGGCACAGGTGGCCCAGTCGTCTAAGGCGATGTAATTAGCTGTGCAGAGTTGCACCCCTTTGGCAGCCAGCTACCCATGATCATGGGTTCAAATCCGGGTTCAGCCGGAGTGTGTTACTTGGTTTGTGAGTGTCAACCATGCTTAAGGGAGCAACTGTTTGATTTTCATTAGGGGGGGAAAGGGAGGATATTAGTTTGAGATCAGTTGAGATCCACTGCCACAGAAACATTTACATTTGTTACCATGGTTACGGTCACTACTTGATAGATGAGCTGAGTTCATATTAAGCATTAAATTGCAATTGGAAAAAAAAATAAAATTATAAAAAAAATAAAATTAAATTGCATGTCTAAATTGGTAATTTTGTTCTTTTCTCACAGAGTAGTGAAACTTATCTTTGAGTGAAATATTAATACATGAATGGCCAATCAATTACACACCTACTCCTTGGGGAAAGGGTTAGTTCATCATTCAGAAGGCCAACATCTTTTTATTTCCAACTTTGATACAATAGGTGAACCCATTAGTAAAAGGCGACTAAGCTTGTCGTAAAAGGCGACTAACGGGATCTGGTTGTCAGGCTTGCTGACTTGGTTGATGCATGTGATGGATCCCAATTGCGTGGATCGATGCTCATGTTTCAATCACTGGATTGTCTGGTCCAGATTCTATTATTTACAGACCGCCGTCATATTGCTGGAATATTGCTGAATGTGGTGTAAAACAACAAACCAACCAACTGATGTCCCCAGCCTTGATATTCCTTAATTCTGCTAAACACAGCATTAAACCACTCTCACTCACTCACTCACTCACTCACTCACTCACTCCTCTGTAGGTCGACCTTGGAAGAAGGATGAGTTGCGAATCAAGGGCAACGACGACCTCCACAAACTGTGGTACGTGTTGCTGAAGGAGAGGAACATGCTGCTCACAATGGAGGCTGAATACAAGAGGCTGTGTACCCTGCTTCCAAGTCCAGAGAGGATCGATAAGGTGGGGTGATCATATATTTTCGCATAAGAGAAGGTGGGGTGATCATATATTTTCACATACGATAAGGTGGGGTGATCATATATTTTCACATACGATAAGGTGGGGTGATCATATATTTTCACATAAGAGAAGCTGGGGTGATCATATATTTTCACATACGATAAGGTGGGGTGATCATATATTTTCACATACGATAAGGTGGGGTGATCATATTTTCACATACAATAAGGTGGGGTGATAATATATTTTCACATAAGAGAAGCTGGGGTGATCATATATTTTCACACACCATAAGGTGGGGTGATCATATATTTTCACATACGATAAGGTGGGAGTGATCATATATTTCCACATACGATGAGGTGGGGTGATCATATATTTTCATATACGATAAGGTGGGGTGATCATATATTTCCACATACCTCACCGTGAAGATCCTGGTTAAATTTGGTCTTAAGCAACCCATGTTTGTCATAAAAGGCGGGGGGCGGTCTGGTAGCCTAGTGGTTAAAGCGTTCGCCGTCACGCCGAAGACCCGGGTTCGTTTCCTGACATGGGTACAATGTGTGAAGCCCATTTCTGGTGTCCCCTGCCGTGATATTGCTGGAATATTGCTAAAAGCGGCGTAAAACCAAACTCACTCCCTCACTCATAAAAGGCGGGGGCGGTCGGGTAGCCTAGTGGTTAAAGCGTTCGCTCGACATGCCCAAGACCCAGATTCGATTCCCCACATGGGTACAATGTGTGAAGCCCATTTCTGGTGTCCTCCGCCATGATATTCCTGGAATATTGCTAAAAGCGGCGTAAAACCATACTCACTCACTCACTCACCCATAAAAGGCGACTAATGGGATTGGGATCGCTGATTTGGTTGATGCATGTTATCATATCCCCATTGCGTATGGCAATACTCATGATGTCATTCATTTATTTACCCCCGTCATATGGTTGGAATATTGCCGAGTGCAGCGTTAAAAGACAAACAAACAAACAAACACCAAAACAATACTTGCAATCTCATTAAAATCAGATCTTAGTTCTTACTACTGCTAAACAAGGATCTGAGGACATCCCATTACTGGTCACCTCAGAACGACCTTTCGTCGGACCAATCAGAGAATCAGAAAAGGTTAACATGGGGTATTCCGAGTGACAGTAACGGGATGTATTATGACTGAATCCATCAAAATCATTGTCTTATCTGTTGCTTAAATGGGGTAAACATTTGAACGAAGAGACTTTGCCAAGCCCATGGGAAGTACAACTATATAACCTAGGCCATCTGTTAGACATTTCACAATGTACATTTGGTCAGTTCTAAAATATTTATTCGAGAACATTGTCAAGATAGTTGTCAAAGTATAGCCGGAAGTCACATGTTTGAAACTAGTGGTGTATAGCTTGAGAAAGCTGCTTTCTGACTGGCTAATGTTGACTTCTTTGTTCTTTTTTTTTTGGTTAGTATTTTTATGCAGATCTTTGTTTAGCAGTAGTGAGAACTAAGATCTGATTTTTATGAGATTGAATGATACATAATTTGGTTGGTTGGTTTGTTGTTTAACGCCGCACTCAGCAATATTCCAGCTGTATGACGGCGGTCTGTAAATAATTGAGTCTGGACCAGACTATCCAGTGATTGACAACACGGCCATCGATCCACGCAATTGGGATCGATGACATGCATCAACCAAGTCAGCGAGCCTGACCACCCGATCCCGTTTGTCGCCTCTTACGACAAGCATTGTCACCTTTTACGGCAAGGATGGGTTGCTGAAGATCTATTCTACCCCGGAATCTTCACGGGTCACGGGTCACGGGTCACATGTGACATGAGTGGGAGATACGGGACTTTACGAGCTGATGGTTCACGTGCACCCCTCAGTCTCAATGTGTACCAAAGCGGCGTTAAACCTCCCTCCCTCACAACCAATATAAGAAAAACACCACCTCACTCACTCTGTACAAGCCAGTACAGCTTGTAAACTCACACTTGTGACACGTGATCAGGGCCCAGGCTGCTGTGATGAGTTCATTTCTAATTTAAGAGGGGAAAAGGGTGGCCCAGTTGTCTAAGGCAGAGTTGCATGCCAGAAACATGATTGTTGGTTCCAATCCCGGTGGGGGCATGGGTGGCCCAGTCGTCTAAGGCGCCGCGATTCACTGTGCATAGTTGCGTCCCTTGGACACGCCAGAAACCTATGATTGTGGGTTCGAATCCCGGTTCGCCCTGAATGTGTTTCTAGGTTTGTCAGCACCATACCCATGCTCGTGGGTTTCACCGAAGTGGTCAACGTCTTAGACCTGCATCACTTCGGGCTTTTCTCCCACATTAAGCTGACACGCCGTGATATAACTGGAATACTGTTAAAAGCGGCGTTAAACTCAACTCACTCGCTCACTCCAATCCCAGTTGGCCTCGATTCTGTTTCTCGGTGTGTCAGCACAGTACCAAGGTTCCTGGGTTTCAGCGAAGTGCATCACTTCACCCTTTCCTTCTGGGGCGGTCGGGAAGCCTAGTGGTTAAAGCCTTCGCTCGTCACGCCGAAGACCCAGGTTCGATTCCCGACATGGGTACAATGTGTGAAGCCCATTTTGGTGTCCCCCTCTGTGATATTGCTGGAATATTGCTAAACGCAGCGTAAAACCAAACTCACTCACTCACACTTTCCTTCCACATTAAGCCAACATGTCTTACTGTCATGGATATAACTGGAACACTGTTAAAAGCGGGGTACATTGATTATTTTAAAAAATGTGTTTTTTTATTTTCCTGAACAGGTCGAAGAAAGCATGGAGAATTTGCTATCCGTAGTGAAAGAGAGGAATGAAGCATTCAACCTCCTAGAAACAGGGACAACGGGAGCCCCACGTGGCGGCTATGTTCGCAACTTTCTCGGACTGAAAGGTTTCAAAAAGTTCCGTGAACACCCTTGGCCAAAAGAGTTTAACCCTACGTATCGCTTGCTGCATCCTCCGTACCGGAGCTCGATGGGGAAGTACATCATGCTGTACAAGGAAAAGATGAGGAGAGAGGAGATGAAGAAGTTGCGGAGGGAGAGGCTGCAGAGGAAGAGGATGCTGAAAGCGTTCCCACATTTAGGGAAAAACTGAGAGCTAGACTTGTAGTTAGATTTGAATAAATTGGCTTTATGTTTGTCATGTGGTTTGTTTATTAGTACTCGAAATGGTGATTATCAATGGGTACATCCAGCATGCACCGTGACCTTGCTTGTTGTAGACCTTTGTACCAGTACCAACTGTCTCTTCAGAGCTCCAGATAAGCTGCGTATCTTCGTTAAATACGCATCAGAAATGCAGAAATACGCAGTGAAATAAAATTCAAGCGTATCAAATACGCAACTAACATTACAGATACGCTACAAAAATAAAACTAGTGCGTATCATCAAAATATTGTGAAGTAACCCTGCATATTCAATTAGCAAATCAGCAACTTATTTTGAAATTATATGCGGGCATTCCGTCAACCTTGCCAAACTCCATGATGACAGTAACATCATGATCATTTGCCATCACACTTTCTTGTGGAAGTATCGCAGTATTTTTTAGTCCTATAAAGCTCTCGAACCCACACGACAACAGTTTGCAGGGACTAGATGAATAGTGTTTTTAAATATTTAACTTATTTAACTTAAATACCCACAAAAAAACTAGTGGGTAACAGAAATTTGAATACCCAGATAGAATTACTGATACCCAATGATTTTAAAATGCATGGGTAAAATACCCACAACACCAAAAGCTTATCTGGAGCTCTGCCCGGAGACTCCAGGGGCTACTTGGATAAGGCTAACTTAGCGCTACAATTGTAGGCCTATGTGAATGTATGGGAGTGATCATCGTAGCTCTAAGATCACTTTGTGCAAGTGGACGCTGGCTTTTACACACAAGGTCATACGCTGTGTCAAAAAAATAGAACTAACAAGCTGACTTACATTATATAATGATTAATCCCTTCACTAAATAATAAACTTTGAGTTCATATATTTTCCAGACAAACATGTCACTTTTATGTTACATGCAATCCACAACTTGATTAGTTCTAGGGGGGCACGGGTGGCCCAGTTGTCTAAGGCGCCGCGATTCGCTGTGCAGAGTTGCGTCCCTTGGGCACGCCAGAAACCTATGATTGTGGGTTCGAATCCCTGTTCACCCTGATTATGTTTCTAGGTTTGTCAGCACCATACCTGTGCTCGTGGGATTCACCGAAGTGGTAAACGTCTGAGACCTGCATCACTTCGGGCTTTCCTCCCACATGAACTTGACATGCCGTGATATAACTGGAATACTGTTAAAAGCGGCGTTAAACCCAACTCACTCACTGATTAGTTCTAGTAATATCAATAAGTGAATTGTCTGTCCAGACACAAGTATTTTCAGACCACCGTCATATAGCTGGAATATTGTTTAGTGTTAAACAACAAACAAACAGTCCTTTTATCTGATAGCAGTGACTTCCTAAATCATCATTACCCCTTGATTTGTGTGCCTTTAAGTTATTTCATCAAAGTACTCGGGAAAAATTATGAAATTTACACCACAGTTTCATAACCGAGTCACCTTTCCCACTTGGGTATGTTTGAAACAAAATGTGAAACGGAAATAGATAGGTACACTTTGTATTTGAACAACAATATACATGTTTCATTCTACATGATCACTGATCATTCACACATAACAGTCAACAGTATCACAAACCTGGCCAGTTTTTTACATCATTCTTTATCAAATATTCATGAAGAATCCTTACGAAAATTTCATGAAAAATCCTTGTGAAGTATTCATGAAGAATCATTGTGAAGTATTCATGAAGAATCAAAGTATTCATGAAGTACCATACTTTATGAAAATTGTACCGTATTGTAAGTATCCTGCTTCTCAAAGTATTTCTTAGTATCCTTAGTTATGAGGTATTCATTAATTATCCTCCCTTGCGAAGCACATCTTCCCGAGGCAAGGGAGTTAACTGACTCTAAAAGTCCAGTTTCCACCTTTGCCAAACTAGGCTGGAATTTCTGGGCTTGATCATAGCGACACCAGTGGCTATTATGAATCACGTCCCTTCTATTACCTGCTTCTTGACCATTTAGATTTGACCTCTCATGTCACTTGCATTTGCTTAAAACAAAATGGCGGCACCCAGTTAAGACGGTCTGATTGATGATCAAGATATATCAAGGTAATAAAACGAGTCTTACCTCGCGAAGTGCATCAAATCAAGTGAGCACATTGATTAAAAACATGAAAAGATTTGGAAAATATGTCATCGCCCAGTTGACGGTACACATCAATTGCAAATCCATGTTGTTAACGAACCGGATGTTGATTTCGTTTAGCGATTTTGATTGGACTATGCATAGACTCATTAGCCCAGCCGAAATTTGACTCCATAACTGCAGCCTAGTTTGGCAAGGGTGGAAACTGGACTTTTACAGCCAGTTAATTCCCTTGCCTCCGGAAGATGTGTGGAGCATGAATTCATGTACCAGCCTTCTCCACAAGTATCCAGCTTCACAGAGTGTATGTCACGTTACTCAAACTGCCATTCCTGGAAAAAGTCATTTCCTTTATTGTCCACCACAATGAATGCTGGGAAATTCTCCACCTCCACCCGCCATATTGCCTCCATACCTGCAACACAACAGAGCTGGGTCACTGACAGAGAACTAGAAAACATGCACTCAAACTTTGACCACTGCTGTCACATACATCTTCCCGAGGCAAGAGCGTTAACTGAATTTAAAAGTCCAGTTTCCACCCTTGCCGAACTAGGCTGGAATTCCTGGGCTCATCGTAGCGCCACCAGTGGCTATTAAAAGTTATATCCATTCTATGCCTCTCCTATATGGACCAATCAGATTCCACCTCTCGTATCACATGCATTTGCTTCAAACAAAATGGTGGCGCCCTGTCAAGATGATCTGATCGACCATCAAGATCTATATTGTGATAAAACATGAGCACCTGGATTGAAAACATGAAAAGATTTGGAAAATATCTGTTGACAACGAGTTAGCGGTGCACATGCTTTGCAAATCCTGCAATCGACCGAACTCTGCATGACAGTTTACGAACCAGATTTCGATTTCGGTTCGCGATTTTGATTGGACAATGCAAAGACTCATTAGTCCAGCCAAAATCTGACTCCATAATCCCAGCCTAGTTCGGCAAGGGTGGAAACTGGACTTCTATAGTCAGTTAACTCACTTGCCCCGGGAAGATGGTCACATATGGACAGTCCTGTCCATGTGAATTGACGTCATTCAACACCAAATTTGTCTGCAAACTCAGACTTGATGATGTATTTCAATCCAGCAACAAGAGCAAAAGTGAGCGTGGCTCACTAAAACCCCCAACCAGCATAGTGTGTCAGTAGTTTCAAATTTAATGGCTAGGATAGGGTTAGGGTTTTAAAAATTCATAAAAAATATTTTTTTTCTCTTTTGACTGGACCCCTCCATATGACACAGTTAATATGTACTAAGTTTGAGATGAATCCACTGAATAGTGTAAGAGAAATCGCGTGGACAAAGTTTTCGGACGGACGTTAGGGTTTGAAAAATTCATTAAAAAAATGGAAAAATAATAAAAACTTTTTTTTTCTTTTGATTGCACCCTTCCATATGACACAGATTATATGTACTAAGTTTCAGATGAATCCACTGAATAGTTTCAGAGAAATCGCGCGGACAAAGTTTTCGGACAGACGGACGGAACATTTGTGTAACTATATAATTAATGCTAACCACCCAGGGACAGTGAGTCGGTTTCACATCTGGACTGGAAATGGCCACCAGGTCATGGTTAAGTCTTCCAATATGTCAGTGGTGTATTTCTCCTACATCTGTATCGACAAGGAGCGGGGACATTTTTGCTCGCATGCCATAAAGTGAGTAAGTTAGTTCCCAAACCTTTGTGAACATTTTTCTGTTACATCATGCCAGTTTAATGTTGCATCACAAGTTTAGAAATATTTCCATCCCGTAAATCGGTCGTGACTCCCATACTTTAACATAGACTTACGTTCATCATAGCCCTGTGGTGTGGAATAAAGCCCCAGGTTCCACAAAGTAATAATTGTGCAATGACGGTCGTAACTTAATGTAGAGCTATCACTGTCGTTTTGTAGAAGGGGGCCCTGTGAGTTAGTGAGTGAGTTGGGTTTAACGCCGCTTTTAACAGTATTCCAGTTATACCACGGCGTCTCACCTTAATGTGGGAGGAAAGCCCGAAGTGATGCAGGTCTCAGACGTTAACTACTTTGATGAAACCCACGAGCACGGGTATGGTGGTGACAAACCTAGAAACATGATCGGGGCGAACCGGGATTCAAACCCACAAACATAGGTTTCTGGCGTGCCGAAGAGACACAACCCTGCACGGCGAATCACGGCGAATCACGGCGCCTTAGACGACTGGGCCAACCCTGCCTCTCCGCACCCCTGTTAGTGACTTACCATGTTCAGGATATTCCAGGACTTCAACTTTCTTGATGCAGTTCTCGGCCAAGATGGCTGCTGGACCCCCGATGGATCCCAGGTAGAACCCACCGTGGCTCTTGCATGCTTTGGTTACCTATGTGGACATGGGATTGGTTACCTGTTAAGGGGTTTGTTACCTGTGTGGACATGGAGTTGGTTACCTGTGTGGCGGTTTGCTACCTGTGTGGACATGGAGTTGGTTACCTGTGTGGGGGTTTGATTACCTGTGTGGGAGTTAAGTTACCTGTGTTGGTGTTTGTTACCTGTGTAGACAGGGTGTTTGATTACCTGTGTGGGAGTTAAGTTACCTGTGTGGGTGTTTGGTACCCTGTGTGGACATGAGGTTTGGTTACCTGTGGACGTGGGGTTTGGTTACCTGTGAGGACATGAAGTTTGGTTACCTGTGTGGGAGTTTGGTTACCTGTGTGAAAGTTTGGTTATATGTGTGGACATGGAGTTAGGTTACCTGAGTGGACATGGGGTTTGGTTACCTGCGAAGACATTGGATTTGGTTACCTGTGTGTAGATGGGGTTTGGTAACCTGTGGACGTGGGGTTTTGGTTACCTGTGGACGTGGAGTTTGGTTACCTGCGTAGACATGGGGTTTGGTTACCTGTGTGGGAGTTGGTTACCTGTGTGGGGGTTTGGGTACCTGTGTGGAAGTTTGGCTATATGTGTGGACATGGAGTTGGTTACCTGTGTGGAAGTTTGGTTACCTTAGTGGACATGGAGTTGGTTACCTATGTGGGAGTTTGGTTACCTGTGTGGAAGTTTGGTTACCTGTGTGGACATGGAGTTGGTTACCTGTGTGGGAGTTGGTTACCTGTGTGGACATGGAGTTGGTTACCTATGTGGGAGTTTGGTTACCTGTTTGGGGTTTGGTTATATGTGTGGAAATGGAGTTAGGTTACCTGTGTGGAAGTTTGGTTACCTGTGTAGACATGATGTTTGGTTGCCAGTGTGGGAGTTTGGTTACCTGTGTGGGAGTTTGGTTATATGTGTGGACATGGAGTAAGGTTACCTGTGTGGACATGGAGTAAGGTTACCTGTGTGGGAGTTTGGTTATATGTGTGGACATGGAGTAAGGTTACCTGTGTGGGGGTTTGGTTACCTGTGTGGACATGGTGTTGGTTTCCTGTGTGGAGGTTTGGTTACCTGTGTGGACATGGAGTTACCTATGTGAGAGTTTGGTTACCTGTGTAGACATGGTGTTTGGTTACCTGTGTGGGAGTTTGGCTACCTGTGTGGACATGGAGTTACCTATATGAGAGTTTGGTTACATGTGTGGACATAGAGTTGGTTACCTGTGTGGACATGGAGTTACCTATGTGAGAGTTTGGTTACCTGTGTAGACATGGTGTTTGGTTACCTGTGTGAGAGTATGGTTACCTGTGTAGACATGGTGTTTGGTTACCTGTGTGGACATAGTTTGGTTACCTGTGTGGACATAGTTTGGTTACCTATGTGGGAGTTTGGTTACCTGTTTCGGGGTTTGGATACCTGTGTGTACATAGTTTGGTTACCTGTGTGGGAGTTTGGTTACCTGTGTGGGCGTTTGGTTACCTGTGTGGACATGGAGTTGGTTACCAGTGTGGGTGTTTGGTTACCTGTGTAGACATGATGTTTGGTTGCCAGAGTGGGAGTTTGGTTACCTGTGTGGGAATTTGGTTATATGTGTGGACATGGAGTAAGGTTACCTGTGTGGACATGGAGTAAGGTTACCTGTGTGGGAGTTTGGTTATATGTGTGGACATGGAGTAAGGTTACCTGTGTGGGGGTTTGGTTACCTGTGTGGACATGGTGTTGGTTTCCTGTGTGGAGGTTTGGTTACCTGTGTGGACATGGAGTTACCTATGTGAGAGTTTGGTTACCTGTGTAGACATGGTGTTTGGTTACCTGTGTGGGAGTTTGGCTACCTGTGTGGACATGGAGTTACCTATATGAGAGTTTGGTTACATGTGTGGACATAGAGTTGGTTACCTGTGTAGACATGGAGTTACCTATGTGAGAGTTTGGTTACCTGTGTAGACATGGTGTTTGGTTACCTGTGTGAGAGTATGGTTACCTGTGTAGACATGGTGTTTGGTTACCTGTGTGGACATAGTTTGGTTACCTGTGTGGACATAGTTTGGTTACCTATGTGGGAGTTTGGTTACCTGTTTCGGGGTTTGGATACCTGTGTGTACATAGTTTGGTTACCTGTGTGGGAGTTTGGTTACCTGTGTGGGCGTTTGGTTACCTGTGTGGACATGGAGTTGGTTACCAGTGTGGGTGTTTGGTTACCTGTGTTGGCATGCAGTTGGTAACCTGCTTTTTTATCTTACGTTTTTATCTTGCTCATGGAAAAATGTAACCAAACCCTGTGTCCATCTCCAAACTAGTTTGGTTACCTATGTGGGAGTTTGGTTACCTGTTTCGGGGTTTGGATACCTGTGTGTACATAGTTTGGTTACCTGTGTGGGAGTTTGGTTACCTGTGTGGGCGTTTGGTTACCTGTGTGGACATGGAGTTGGTTACCAGTGTGGGTGTTTGGTTACCTGTGTTGGCATGCAGTTGGTAACCTGCTTTTTTATCTTACGTTTTTATCTTGCTCATGGAAAAATGTAACCAAACCCTGTGTCCATCTCCAAACTAGTTTGGTTACCTGTGTGGACGTCGAGTTAGGTTACCTGCATGGGAGTTTAGTTACCTGAGTGGACATGGAGTTTGGTTACCTGTGTGGACGTCGAGTTTGGTTACCTGTGTGGATGTGGAGTTTGGTTACCAGTCTTGACATGGAGTTGGTTACCTGTGTGTGAGAGTTTGGTTATCTGGATGGACATGGGGTTTGGTTACATTTTTCCATGAGCAAGATAAAAAGCAGTTTTCACTTACAAAGTTTGTCACTTCACCTTCATTTAGTCTGATTAAATCCTTTTCAATTTCTGAAAGCATATTCAATGAATAAAAATGTGCTCTTAGCATTAAAGATTTATGGTTTACAGAGGATAATATTCTGTCAACAAGGACCCTGTCCCTCCCAGCTCACCTCGCGACTGCGGTGGCCCTTGGCCAACATGACCTTGCTGCCCCCTGCAGCTTGGAAAGCGTTCACATACGAGTCCATCCTGAGTGCTGATGTCGGCCCAAACGATCCACTTGCATATCCCTGGGTCAAACACACACAACATAAATGTCTGGGTCATACACAATATTCCAGCTGCCGTCAGCCTAAACAGTCTGCTTGTACATCCTTGGGATTGGTCTTAGGACTGTATTATACTTTTGCCGACCCCTCTCCCATTTTGTGGTACTTTTTTTTCATGACCCTCACCCTCTTTGTAGGGCGGTCGGGTAGCCTAGTGGTTAAAACGTTCGGTCGTCACGCCGAAGACCCGGGTTCGATTCCCGACATGGGTACAATGTGTGAAGCCAACTTCTGGTGTTCCCCGCCGTGATAAAAGCGGCATAAAACCAAACTCACTCACTCACTCACCCTCTTTGCTTCAAACAAAATGGTGGCGCCCAATCAAGACGATCTGATCAAGATGTATATTGTAATTAAACACGACCTACCTCGCGAAGTGCATCAAATCATGTTTAAGTACATGAACAGATAAGGAACATATCCGTTGACAGCCAGTTGAGTGAGTGAGTATGGTTTTACGCCGCTTTTAGCAATATTCCAGAAATATCACGGCAGGGGACACCAGAAATGAGCTTCACACATTGTCCCATGTCGGGAATCGAACCCGGGTCTTCGGCGTGACGAGCGAACGCTTTAACCACCAGGCTACCCGACCGCCCCGACAGCCAGTTGAGGATACACTCTTTTACAAATCCTGCAGTCGACCAAAATCTGGACATTGAAATCCATGTTGTTTAAGAACCGGATGTTAATTTCATTATGGACTATGCATAGACTCATTTGTCTAGCCAAAATATAACTCCATTATTGCAGCCTACGTTCGGCAAGGGTGGAAACTGGACTTTTACAGTCAATTAACTCCCCTGCCTCAGGAAGATGGGAACTACAAGAAAAAACATAATGTACCCAAGTGGGGATTAGAACCCAGATCAACATGCAATGAAAGAATCGCTGTGCAATGGCTAATAATTTTGACAAGGTTTACATTCCAGAGTTGTCCCCCTTACTTTTGGTGTTTTGGCAGGACCGGCGTAGTAGACTGGGTGATCCTTCATATACTGCGGCATCTCTTCCCCCTTGTCTAACCTCTCCTGCAGCTTAGCGTGGGCGATGTCCCGCGCAACCACCAGCGTCCCCGTCAGAGTCAGGCGAGTTCTGATTGGATACTGGTCAAGTTGTTGCAGCACTTCACTCATTGGTCGGTTCAGATTCACCTGTAACACATGCATTCAAGATGGGCAAGGTAGTATTGGGGAATAGGTCAATTATTTGTTATTAGTTGGTTATAGCCCAAACAACATTAAAACACTAAAATTATAAAAATTAATTTACTTTTGACAATCCTCCAAACAGCTATTATATTTATGGTTTATGGAATAAATATAATTATATTTCATACACACTGCTATTAAATTATATTATCGATAAACGTAATAGCTGTTCGGAGGATGAAACCACTGCCATTTGCAAATTAAAAGCTGCTCAAATGACTTAGGAGTCGCCAGTGGAAACCCCCGATCAACACACTGTTTCATCATATGCCCCCACATTATACTGCAAATACTTGTGGGTATACGAGGTGAGGTGAGGTGAAATTGGGTTTAACGTCGCGTCCAAGATTATTGCACTTATATAGCGACGTGCATTTACGTGTGTGGCTGCTTGTACTAGTCCGGACTGATTCCGATTTATAGTGCTAGCCCACTGAGATACCATGCTGCAGTTCAACATGAATACCCCACTCAGACCCAGTATACTGACTCCGGGCCGACCAGTCCTTGTTATAGCCCCTTAATGCAGAGCGCGAGACAGGGCATGGGCGGATACAGCTTTTTTGAAAAGAGGGGGGTGCACAATTAAGATCTATTTATTGTCTTTGGTGGTAATTTATACAGAAATAAAGATTTTTTTGCACCCCCGCACCCCCGCACCCCCCAAAAACGTGTGGCAGTCTTTATGATGATGCAGACAGTGCCCGAGAAACAAAGACTATTATTTTGTTTTAGCCTGACAAATAATATTTTTATTAATTTTCAGTTATTGGTAAATTTATATCATCACAATTCCTTTTGTTTTTGGGTATAGCTGTCTGATACAATGTATTGACCTTACCTGCACGACCTCGCCTCCAAGGTCCTTTGGCTCAACCTCTGGAAGGTACTTGATGGGATCAGTCTCAAGCTGTTCTAGAAACACGCCCTCTTCTGTTATTTTGCCAAGAGCCTAAAGCAGGAACAATATTGCTAAAATATGTTGAGGACAACTTTCTCAGAAATATTATTTGCTAATTTACTGAATCTGGTTCCATAAAAAGACAGAGGGACCCAAATAAGGATTCGAACTTGGGTCTTAGTTGTTACAAGCAACGCCTTAACCAGTAAGCTACTTAACCACCCCTAACATTAACAAGCGCACCTGTCTGTCTGCTGCACACGACACCCCGATACCAACAGGACAGGAAGCTCCGTGTCTCGGTAGGCGAATGACTCGGACATCGTGACAGAAATATTTGCCTCCAAACTGTGCCCCAATCCCCATTTTCTGTGTCAGTTTGTGGATTTGCTGCTCAAGTTCAAGGTCGCGGAAAGCTCGGCCATGGTCATTGCCTGATTAATGAGAAGTAAATGAATGAATTATTTAATCATGTTATGGTATTCACTTATTTAAATTTTTGTTGCAAGGTTGCAAGGTACTTTTAAAGACCGTCAGTTAATGATAAATCTACTAAACTCTGAAAATCCTGATATGATCAATGCTGTTGCTGTATTCTTAAAACATGTCTTTAAAATGAGGAATGTGTAACTTGATTTAAAATCTGATCATGTACATCACGTGACAATGTTAATATCCAATCTGCATTGTACTATGGGCCTTGATGCCTAAAATACTGAATAAACTGCCTGTCTGTCTGTCTGTCTATTTGTGGGGGGCACAGATGGGGGCGCCCCCCCCCCCCCCTTTTTATTTCGAAAAAAATCTTTATTTCTGTATAAATTACCACCAAAGACAATAAATAGATCTTAATTGTGCACCCCCCCCCCCCCCTTTTCAAAAAAGCTGTATCCGCCCATGTTCCCCCTGTATAATTTTAAGCTTGTCAGCACCAAACCTACGCTGCACAGTCAGTTTTTCTTCACTCAATTACTAAGTTTTCATTAAAGACAAAAAGAAATGATTGAAAAACTGTTTGGGTCCAAACAAGGAAATCCTCATCCATCACAATCACAAACAAGTCAAGTTCCATTTGTTGGAGCAGTAGTCACTCTATGCCCCCAAAAGATTATTGCCCAGGCCACACAGACAGACAGAACAATGTCTCGGATAACGTATGGTCACCTGATGCGGGGAGTGTGTCCAGGTAGCGTGTCGAGGCCAGCTTGACTGTTTTCAGCGCGAGTTCTGCTGACGTTCCTCCGATAACAATGGCCAGATGATAGGGAGGGCAGGCCGCTGTACCTAATGTCTGACCAAAGAATAACAAATAACATTTTGCAATGGAGGCGTCTTTACCATCTGTAACACACTAACTGTTGGGGCTGTTAACAAACTTCTGATGAAATGACCAGCCTGCAATGCCGATAGCATGGGACTAATTGAGACCCCGTGAAATGTCAATCAACAAAACACTTCAAGCAGCATAAAGCTTTAATAATCTTTCTTTTAAATAGGACAAGTCATTTATCAATGGATGGGTGGGCTGGTGGGATTGGTCTCAGGATTACCAAATTGTACGACCCATCCGACCCCAGTTCCCAACCCCATTTTATGTAACTTTTTTTCAAACACTGTGCCCCTGTCATACCCAAACACTGATCTTTTGCACAATAAGGAAATGGTACCGAAATTTGATGTCAAAATATTTTAGTTTGGTTTAATGATGTAAATATGATTGTTCAATTTAACGCTGTCAAGGTTACAATTTTCACAAGTCTTACAAAAACAAAGACGAAGATGCACTGAAAAGTGAAAAAAGAACAACATTTGACATCAACATGGCTTGGGGCATCTATGTACATTTTTGTATTACTAACCATGATCTTTTCCTCGAGAAACTTCCTAAGTCTTTCAGGATTTAGCAAAGCTTTTGTTTGTTGATAGAGGAAGGTCTTGTTGGCTGAGCCTCCTCCCTTGGCCATAAACAGGAAGTCGTACTGAGAGGAGTCCGTGGTGTACAGCTCGATCTGGGCCGGCAGGTTTGTCTTGGTGTTGACCTCGTTAAACATGTCCAGTGGCGCCACCTAGGGGGATATTCATGTTTGTACAGGGGATGCAATTCCTTGTATTAGAGTGCCAATAGCTTGGTAAGAATCAATTGCACGGTCTAACAACAAACTGAGAAGTAATATATGTTTAAACAAAATGATCATTTCATGAAGCCATAAACCGTAAACATAAACAAGTTAAGTGGACAAACACAAGTAAATGAATATGTACAGCATAAGTTACAAAATAAGCCTGTTAATTCAGAACAACAGGAAGGGAAAAACTGCTTAAGGTAGATGCTGAGTTTTACCTTGACCCCCATTTTTTTGGGGGGGGCCAGGGGACTCATTTCTTACACACCTGTGTGAAATCGGATTCCAGTTCCGTGATTGGCTATCATGCAGCATTTAACCAAGTAAAGCACCATACGACAGAGACCCTCTATAGATCTTAATATTACACAAATGAATTCCTCTGCCCAATTTCATTAAAATCAGATCTTAGTTTCCGCTCAACCAAGATCTGAGGACATCCCATTAAGGGTCACGTCAGAACGACCTTTCATCCGACATATCAAAGCGTCGCTCACCAGATCGTGAAAGTGACAGTCGGAATGTGTTTTCTAATCATGCAACCTCGAAAACGTTAACACGGGGTATTCCTTACGACAGTTACGGCCCGCATGACAAAATTATCATCTTTCTCGCTTCCATGGGATAAACATTTGAACGGAGAATGAGTTGCACAGTACGTGGGAAGCACTGCCATACAATCTCAACCATATATTAGGCATCCCTAATGTTCGCTTGTTCAGTTTTTAAAATCTAAATCGAGAACTGTGTCAACATATTTTTCAAGTGTAATGGAATGGAAGTCGCCAGGTTGAAACGAGTGCCGTGAAGCTCAAGAAAGCTGCTTTCTAATTGGTTGATATCGACTTCTTGTTAGACATTTCAGTGTTCGGTCAAAGTTCGCGTAAGGTCGTTCTGACGTGACCCGTAATGGGATGTCCTCAGATCTTTGTTTAGCGCCAGCGAGAACTTAGATCTGATTTTAATGAGATTGTCCCTCTGCCAGTTATTACATGTAACACCTTTGGGATTCAGGGTAAAAACGGGTCCCTGGAATCCCATGCTAGTCATTAGATGTGAGTTAACGGATCAGGGGATCAGACATGCTGTCTTGGTCGATCACGTGACATCATAACAGGACAGCCCGGGCTTCACTGGATTGTCTGGTCCAGACTAATTATTTACAGGCTGCCTTCAAATCCAGCAAACTACAGTTATAACGAACTCAGAGAGGCCACTACTTATAACTCGTCATAACCATAATTTGTTAGAAGCATTTCGGATGTCAGACATCTGGGATCAAGTCACGTATCCTCATCACTCTAGCCATCACATTTCATTGACAGAATTTATCCACTTTAAAGTCTAAAGCCTAATCACTGTTTTACAATTGTTAATTGAGGATAAAAATTGAGGACAAGTGTCAGTACATAATCCATTTAATCACTTGCCTTCAATTATTATCGCTTTGAACAGCCACTCATAGCTGTGGATGTCTTGATAGGCTGATTGGTGATACGTGAGTGAGTGAGTTGGGTTTAACGCCGCTTTTAACAGTATTCCAGTTACATCAAGGCGTGTCAGCTTAATGTGGGAGGAAAGCCCGAACTGGTGCAGGTCTCAGACGTTTACCACTTCGATGAAACCCACGAGATCTAGATCATGACAAACATTATCGGGGCGAACCGGGATTCGAACCCACAATCATAGGTTTCTGGCGTGCCTAAGGGACGCAACTCTGCACAGCGAATCGTGGCGCCTTAGACGACTTGGCCACCCGCGCCCCCGGTGATACGTGATCAGGTTAGAGATTAAAAGTTTGTTGCAAACATAAACATTGTCGCTAACAGAGTACACACAGGACCACAAAGTGATTTGCTGTATCCGTTATCTCTCTATAAGCCTGTTCGGTATATATCCATCAATTTTATATGATGAAATATACTGCAAGTGGCCAGGATCAAACAAACAGTTCGTTATATCCGTCAGCTCGTTGTAAGCTTGTTAGTTTACTGTAGCTGAAATATTGCTGGGTGCAGTGATAAACATCAAATAAAACAAACAAATATTACCTGTGAATACCTGAGGTTCCTCTTGGTGTACGTGTTGTAGATTCCCCTGGAGAGAGCATCCTCATCCCTCCCCTCCGTCCACACGTACTGACCTTTCTTACCTGGGGGCAAATATTGAAATATGTCACTGCATCATGCCTTAACATAACCTGCTACAAGTCCAAAGACAATCTTGTCTATTTGGTACCATTTCATCAACTTGATTGACGGAATAAAGATATTACCAGCTACTGTTACCAAGACCTGTTTCACCTAAATAAGAACCCCTTTCAAACCACCCAGCAACATGTAGGTAGTCGACAGCTTTTCAGACACGGTTTCTCCTGATTGCAGCGAGACGGCATCACTTTGTGACTGCCATCACACTCAGAAATGACCTGCGGGATGCCAGTGGCATTGACGCTTTTACTCAGACAGAGTGTAATTGTCTCCGTTTGGCTGGTCTCCGGTCACGGAGGGAATGCATTCACCTAACACTGACCCGTCATCACAGGCAGGCATATTTGGATTGGGCTGAAGATCACGTCAATTGGACAATGGACAGACCAGGACTAGACTCAGGACTCAACAGATAGCAGAGCCCGAGGGAGGCGTAGACAAGGAGAAAGATGTCAGGATTCCAACACAGCCGAACATGATCACAATGGGGGAGGAGGGCTCAATCATGATTTTGGGTGGGATCAGTAGAGCTGGAAGAAACGATCTCCGCGTCCTACAGTCAGGCACAATGACAGGCGCTACAGGGACGTTCTCGATGTGTACGTGAGATGTGTACGTATGCTGGTGCAATCAGAGCAGACTTCATCCTCATGGACGATAACGTGCGACCTCATCGTGCCAGGGATGTTGATGCCTACTTAGAGCAGGAGACCATTGTCCTCATGGAGTGGCCAACCCGTCACCAGACCTCAACCCTATCGAATACGTGTGGAACGAGCTGCACAACGCCCTGTCCCACCGGCAACTCAACAGGAACTCGGCAATGCTCTTACTAAAGAGTGAAACAATCTTCGCAACCATCCATTCGCTTACTGGAGTATGAGACGACGATGTCTGACTTTGATCGCATCATGTTGATAACATACATGCTACTGAGAGTTGTTTTTTCTAACAATGAATTGGTTTTCGTGATTTTTAAAATTATTTTTACATTTCAGTTTTGTTCAGATACTCTCAACTTGACTGGTGATCTGACTGATTATTGGTGACATTGTGTCGTGGCCATTGATAACAGACTTTTGTTCATTAAACACAATGTTGTTTTTGTCGAGATGCACACAATTTGACGTATTAAACATGACATAAGGCATAAGGCAGCAATAATCGAACAGAACAATGAAGATCGAGGCATGGTTTATTTAATGATACAACATCGTTCTACCATGGGGGCACGGGCGGCCCAGTCATCTAAGGCACCGTGATTCGCTGTGCAGAGTTGCGTCCCTTGGGCACGCCAGAAACCTATGATTGTGGGTTCGAATCCCGGTTCGTCCCGATTATGTTTCTAGGTTTGTCAGCACCATACCCGTGCTCGTGGGTTTCACCGAAGTGGTAAACGTCTGAGACCTGCATCACTTCGGGCTGACACGCCGCGATATAACTGGAATACTGTTAAAAGCGGCGTTAAACCCTGGGTAAATACTTTTAAGGCTTGTGCATTAACATCCTTAAAGAGGCTGTACATAATGTTGAAATCTCATATGAAAAATAAATGAGTGAGAGTTGTTTATCGTACAATGCAACACTGCAGGGAGAATAAAACACAGCACTCTAAGTCGTTTATCAATCTCATTAAAATTAGATCTTAGTTCTCGCAAAGCTTAACAAAGATCTGAGGACATCACATTACGGGTCACGTCAGATTCGACCTTGCGCGAACTTTGACTGACCAATGGAATGACCAATCAGAAGGCAGCTTTCTCGTGCTTTACGGCACAAATTTCAAATTGGCGACTACGCTTTGCAACATATTTTGACAAATTCTCGATTACAAATTTGAAACCTAAACAAAAGAACATTCTGGAATGGCTAACAGATGGTCTAGATTGTATAGATTCAGTCGTTAAACCCGTAACTATCGTTCGGAATACCCCGTGTTAAAGTTTTCGAGATTGTATGATTAGAAATCACATTCCGACTGTCACTTTCATGATCTGGTAAGCGACCCTCTGATTGGTCGGATGAAAGGTCGTTCTGACGTGACCCCTAATGGGATGTCTTCAGATCTTTGTTAAGCGGTAGCGAGAACTTAGGTCTGGTTTTAATGAGATTGAGTCGTTTATTCTACCAGCAGTGTGTTATTGTTCGACAAACAACTCCCTCTTGTCATTCATTTCTTAATTAAAGTGGTGATCCTAAGCAGGCATTGAGCAGGAGAAGAAGCTTAGTCGAAATAATACACTATTTCAATCTTATTACATCTTCAAATGATTCGAAGTCAAGACATTCGTAAACAAATGTTACTTCGTTGAAACCTCACAATGGAATACTCAGCTATTTTCGTTGAGATGGAACTGATGTTCCTCCTAGCTTTCACCTACCGATACAGATAGCTGTTCCCGTATCCTGGCAACCAGGCAGAACCATCCCAGCAGCAACATTTGCGTTCTTCAACAATTCAAGAGCCACACACCTGTCATTAATGGAGGCCTCGGGATCTTTCAGGATATTTGACAGTTGCTAGGATATAAAAAACAAAACAGTTAACCATTAATTATTGTTCATGCAGAAAGAGACTGCCTATGTGGTCCAGCGATAGAGCGTCCGACCGGAGTGCGGAAGGTTGGGGGTTCAGTCCTGGCTGTGTCAAACCGAGAGATGTTAAAAGATGGTACTTGTAGTTTTCCTGCCTAGCACTTGGCATTAGGGGCTAAAACAAGGACTGGTCTGCTCGGAGTCCGTATACTGTGTCTGAGTTGGGTATTCATGTTAAACTGCGGCATGGGGTATCTCAATGGACGAGGACTATAAAATCAGCATTTGTCTGGACTATCACACACACACACACACACACCCCTGCTTGCTTGAGGTCCCAGGCATGGCCAAGAGCAGACTTGTGGTGATAGTGGTGACCATGGCTACGGCTGGGATGTGTTTGGGTGAGGTGCTTTTTTGAAGCTGGAAACAGGTTCATGAATTGATTCCACTCGGGGATCACTCGAAAGGGAGAAATGCATAGTGCGAGATAGGATAAGTTTTAAAATGTATAAAATTTGGTAAATATTGAAATTTGGAAATAAGGAACTAGAAAGGAACTAAAAAGTAAAAAACCCCGAACAAAATAACCTTTATTTTCCAATTTGCCCACCAAGGGTTGAACAAAACAACATTAATTCCCAATTTGCCCACCAAGGGTGTTTAGTTGGGATCCCTAGATCCATCTCTCATGTCTAATATTCTCCCTGTCACTATTCCCATCTTGCACATCAAATGTTTAAAAACTGTGGAAAAAGAAATTGGAATAAGTTAGGAAACAGAAACTTGATGTCACAGTTTCACCTGGAGATGTCCGGGTCGAAGGAGATGGGAAATGTCAATCATGGCGGTCTCAGCCAGCAAGGTCAAGGCTGCAGGCTCTATGTGAAGAACCTTTCTTCCCTTCACATCAAACGTTGAAACATTGTCACCTATGAAGATGAAAAAACAACTTATTAATATATTTTATATTTATTTCTCATTCTGTATTTCATATTGCAGTCCCTTCTGTTTTTTGAGAAAACAAGACTGGAAATGTCATCCCTAGAGACAAAATCTATTCCTGAACACAGTGCTGCCCTCACCGAACCAGCCAACAAACATGTCACTCATCAGTTTGAGAACGCAGCAACGCCCACTGAAGATACAACCGGGCCCATTTGTGATAAGGATAAGGTAGAGAACAATAAATATATATCAGATATTAATAATGTTTACTTAACCCTGTATTACATGTTGCATGTTATCCGATGGTTGGAGGAGGGTAAACCTTCAGTGTAGACTGGTTATCAAAGGCTCGACTATGGGTAGGTGTAGTAACATTAGGCGCACTTCTTCGCACACCGGGGGGCACGAATCCCGGTTCGCCCCGATTAGGTTTCTAGGTTTGTCAGCACCATACCCGTGCTCGTGGGTTTCACCGAAGTGGTAAACGTCTGTGACCTGCATCACTTCGGGCTTTCCTCCCACATTAAGCTGACACGCCGCGATATAACTGGAATACTGTTAAAAGCGGCGTTAAACCCAACTCACCCACTCACTCTTCGCACACCAACATTATTGTCATTATTGTTAAAATAACCATACTTCCGAGATTGACAAAAATAAATGTCATAACCACTGTGTCCCCTCGACACTCCTACAAGAGGGGAAAGCTCATGTGGTAGTATCCGGGTTCCACTACCCGCGCCATTTAGGGTTGGCGATCTGTAGTGCAACTACCAGTGGCCCAACACTATGGACTCCTTCAATGTCTCCAACAGTCTTAAATCTAAAAAAAAACATCCCCCACAATAGCTGCGACTGTGCAGTTGCCATGGAGAGCCATTGTGGAGGCAATTACCCAGGTTTCATAAGGGTTGCATCGAAGACTAGTAGGATATAGTAGATCGAAGCCGGAAGGCGATGGTATTCCTGTTGACTTGCTGTGCAGCTTTGTGTAGATATCATGCAGTCGAGGTACATTCGTAAGGCTCAAATGGGTACATGTGAAGCTCATCTGCGTCTTCCTGTCCTACAATTAAGACAACGCCAGTCTGGTTGTCCTGGCCGCTGTTTTTTTCGAAATGAAATCCCAGCAAACCCCTAAATGGACTTTGCCGCATCTGACCTGTTATAAACAGGTGAGGTGAGGTGAAATGGGGTTTAACGTCGCGACCAAGATTATTGCACTTATTTAGCGACGTGCATGTACGTGTGTGTATGTGTGTGGCTGCGTGTACTAGTCCGGACTGATGCCGATTTATAGTGCTAGCTCACTGAGATACCATGCCGCAGTTTAACATGAATATCCCACTCACACACAGTATACTGACTCCGAGCCGACAAGTCCTTGTTTTAGCCCCTTAATGCCGAGCGCCAGACAGGGTAACAACAGGTACCGTCTTTTAACGTCTTTTGGCGGACCTTCCGCTCTCTGGGCGGACGCTCTACCACTAGACCACGGAGGCGGTCTGTTATAAACAGACTTGACATACCCCATACCGCTGTTGCAGAAAAAGAGTCAAGTGTTCATACGGCTGCTGATGCAAGTGCACTACATTCAGATCCCAGGCTGGAGGACAAAGGTTCTCGGCAGAAGCCTTAGAGCATGGCCTGCAGTTCCGGGAACTTGGAAACTTTCTGATCTCTCTGAACTGCCATCACAGAATTAAAGGCTGTTCGATAAGTAGCAGCGGTGCCGCCCTTTAAACAGTGTGCGCGACGACGGCAAGTTGTCTGCAATAAACTGTGGACAAACTGTGACCAACTCGTGTTATTCCTGGACAAGCCGAATAGCGACTCCTGCCCCTCACATGGCCACTTTTGCGACCGGGTTCCGTCTTAGCGCAAACGGGCAACCCTAAAACAATTGTCAACTCGTTGCGTAATGGTTCACATATTATTTCCCCATGTATTATATATATTTCAGATGCAATTTAAAGCACTTTGAGACATGCGGAATCATACAGTATGATTGAACACATTTAACTGTGTCTTGGGTATATTTTTAGATGCAAGACATATGTAAAATCAAAAATTATTTCTGAGGGATTCTTTGACGAAGAACTTAAAATCATACGCGCATTCTGATTGGTTTGTAGTATTTTCGCACATAACATTCATCGATAGGGGGCGAGTCTTCTTGCAGGTTACGGAAAGGGGCGAGTGGTGACGAATGTCATTTTGTAAAGAGTCAGTGTATTGTGTATTGCAGGAGAACATGGACATTCTTCATTGGGAAGAACTTCAGCAACCGGTGATACAAAGGTTTTACTCACACATATTCCTCGTCCCCAAGAACCCACTTTGAAATTACAGTTGATTCACAATCGTCACTTCCTCGTGAGGCGGCCTTGGTTCAAGATGACGTCTTTGTCACATCTTTGGACTAGGATCAATCCTGGTATTTCATGATCAGCATCAACCAAGACGCCTATCTTCATGTGCCCATCCACAGTAGTTTGTTCGTTCTTGTCACCAGGAACATCATCTCCAATGGCAGTACTCCCATTTGGAGTTTCTTTGGCCCTGTGGTAATTTACAAGGATAATAAAACCTATTGTCAGCATTCTCCACGATCAGGGCATCAACTTTGATGCCTGTATTGACAGTTGCCTGCTTCACCACCCAAACGATTGCATCCTTCTGTGTCAATGGAACTTCACTCAGAAGTTGCTAGTGTAACTAGGATGGCTGACCAACCAGATGAAGTCGGATCTCATTCCAACTTGTTCCCTGGTGTTTATAGGGGGTCTCTTTCACACAGACTTGGGTCTCCTCGGACAGGTGGCTCAACATACAGTCACTGATCCAACCTGCCTTGAGATGACCTCTCCACCTACGCAACTAGCAACTTCTTTCTCTTCGGACTCCTGAGGCGGTCGGGTAGCCTTGTGGTTAAAGCGTTCGCTCGTCACGCCGGAGACCTGGGTACAATGTGTGAAGCCTATTTCTGGTGCCCACTAACCCACGAACCCATGCCCACTAACCCATGATCCAGGCGATGCACGGATGGCATAAGCCACTACCACACAACAATAGGTGTATGTGATACGTGAAAACCCCTGAGAGGTACTAAATACGCAAAACCCGACAGCATTTAGAATGAAGCAAGTCCAAAAATGGCAGGAAACAAAGCATGTGCCACAAACTCACAGTGTACTAGACGACTAAGAAAAAGGAACAAACAAAAGTATGTAAGATCACTCAAGTGAGTAAACAAAATCAATCTGTATTTGAGAGAAAACAAAAGTAGGATATCCACAACATTGACAAGGGATAACGTTCACAGAGGATCTGCATTCGTCAGCGAAAATAAGAAGAGAGATGTGTACGTTGCCTGTTCGATGAAGGCAGGATGTGTTCGGGTGAGTAGTTTCAACTGTGTCCTGGAACAGGTTTTCTCTCTTAGGATGACGCTTCAAGTCATGTTGGCTTGTTCGATGAGGACAGCATGTGTTCAGGTGAGTAGTTTCAAACTGTGTTCAGAAACAGGTTTTCTCTCTAGAGATGATGTTTCCAGTCATGTTTTTGCAAGAAACAGAAGGGAATGCAATATGTAACGCAGGATTAAGTAAAAAGTACACCAAACAAAATCTCCTTGGAGGATACATATAAGAGATTTTTTTCAATTAGTCAATGCAAGTTTATGTCAAATAAATAAACTGTAAGTATTGGTCTTTTGGTATGTTTTTCCATGGTGGCATATGCTTTCTTCCCTTGTCAAATTTGAAAAAAAACAACCTTTAAACTTTTAAAGACAAACCTGATAATTTTTTCCACGGGACTTCTGCTTTCTTCTCATGTTCAAAGATGTCCTGGTAGAAGAATGGCTTGACATCAGCAGCCGCTGCTGCTTGTATGCCGCTTGTCTGTATCTGTCGCAGGTGCTTGTGAAGAACTAGCCACGCCCCCTGCAGGGCACGACCTCTCATCCCTGACCCAAGCATCTAGTAACAAACAGCCCAGAGATAAACCTTGTTCATAGTATAAAGCGACTGAATGATTTGTTTGTTTGTTGTTTGGCGCCTCACTCAGCAATACTCCAGCTATATGACAGCAGTCTGTAAATGATCGAGTATGGACCCGACAATCCAGTGATTGATATCATGAGCATCGATCCACGCAATTGCGATACGATGGCATGCATCAACCAAGTCAGCTAACCTGACCACCCAATATCCCGTTAGTCACCTCGTAATGTCGCCTTTTTCGGCAAGCATGGGTTGCTGAAGACCTATTCTATCCCGGATTTTCACGGGTCTAAAGAGGTTAACAAACAAGAGAAAAGTCCTGTCACGTGATAAGCAGTGTCGTTACTGGAGCAAATAATTCCAAGCAAATAATTCCCAGCGCGAGACACCTTTGTTACGCTCTCATAGTATAGAGAGCTCCGCGAACAGACTATCGCTGTGAAGAGCTTGACACGACAGGTGCGCTGACCCGGGTGGTTCAGCCTTAAACTGACAGCGCATGTGGTATGCGTGATATGAGCTGTACTATCACACCTATAGACAGTTGACCAGTAATGGCTTCACCTCAATCGGTTTCGTTCACGCTGGTGTATGGACAGTATTTCTTTTCGCCAAAACAATCTATATATTTTCATGTCATGAAACATATATTCTGTGATTCAATGGTGACCATGACTACTTATATTGTAATTGTAAACCACTTGCTAGCTGTCCGACACGAGGCGGTGGGGTCAGCTGATCATTCATTCATGGTCGCTTTGTTGACGTTATGCAATCAGTATCGTAGGATCATAGGTTTTCTGACGTCATAAGTATGTATGTATGTATGTATGTATGTATGTATGTATGTATGTATGTATGTATGAATATACATATATATATATATATATATATGTGTGTGTGTGTGTGTGTGTGTGTGTGCGCGCGCGCGTGTGTGTATACTGAACCGCAAAAGAAACGTCACCATGGATAGATATAGGAGAAACCTTATATGTCCAAACACTGTAAACATACTTTGAGACATATTAAAAAGATGAAACTTGGCAAAACTGATCATCAAGGTTGAAATTAAAGTGTCAAATTTCTTAAAGTGAAACGTAACAAAATGGCATCACAAGTCAGTATCTCGTGTGTCCGCCATGTGCATTGATTACTGTCGTGCAACGTCGATACATGAATGGATGAGGAGGTTGGTGAAGACCATAGGCACTTGAGCTTACACTTTGGGGAACGCCTGGAGCAGTTCAGCTGCAGTTGTCGGCCTTGGTCGGACGTCAATCAGTCGTCTTTGAATCTCGTCCCACAGGTGATCAATGGCATTTAAATCGGGACTGAGGGCAGGCCACTGCATGGTTCTGATGCCATTCTGCTGGAGGAATTCTCTTGTTGCTCTCGCAGTGTGGGCATGGGCTGAAACTCGTGGTTGCGGCGACGTGCCAAATGAGGTATGGCGTGTGGTCCCAAGACTTGATCAATGTACCGAGCTGTGACACCATTGCATCTGCCTGGACCGATGTTCTGGAAGACCACAGGGCCGACCCTCTGTGCAAGACCGATTCCACCCCACATCATGATGCTCGGTCCACCCCACGAGTCTCTCTCAACAACACACGCATCCGAAGAACGTTCCCCACGGCGTCGCCCGACTGTCTCTCTGCCATCTGCTGTTGAGATTCAGTAACGGCTCTCGTCTGAGAAGAGGACTCTTCTCAACTGCTGGAGGCGCCAATGCTGGTGCCGTGTTGCCCACTGAAGACGGTCCCGGCGATGACGTGGTGTCTGAATGAGTCCTCGGCGTGGCCTGTGACAGTAGAGGTGTCTGCTCGTCAATCGTCGACGCACGGAGTCCGAACTAATGTGTCGCTGGTGTGTTCCCATGGTCTGTCGAGCAGTTTCCGCAGTAGTAACAAAGCGATCTTGAAGATGCTGTCGCACAATCTGACGATCCTGACGTCGGATGGTCACCCTTGGTCATCTGAAGTGTTGGTGGTCTGATACCGTTGCTTGAGCCTGAATATGGTCCTTACGTGGACTTGAAATGCATTGGCGACTTGCCGGGCGGTTTGTCCAGCTTGCAATCGTCCAAGGGTTTGGTGTCGCTGATTTCTTGTCAGGCTTGGCATGTGGTAGAAATTCAATAACGAATGAATGCTATCCGATCTGGGTGGATTTTTATAGGGAAAGAAATGGGGGAGCGCATGTGCACGGAACACACGTGCATCGGGTTGCCATGGCCGTTGTCGTGATGCGTTTGGGTGATCGGTTATATTGTCTGCTTTGTCATCAAATTTCATTTTTCCGGAGAAGGTAATGTTAAATTTTAGAAACTTTGACAAAAATTACCCAGATATTTGAATGACAACTTGTCATGCAACGTGACTTGGGTGACGTTTCTTTTGCGGTTCAGTATAAGTATAGGCGATGCGGAACAATAAGTGTGAAGATGTTTTCTAAATCTTTTCATGTTTTTAATCAAGTTGCTCACATGATTTGATGCACTACGTGCAGGAAGACTCATTGTTTTACAATACTGATCTTGATTATCGATCAGATCGTCTTCATTGGCCATTTTGTTTGATGGGACATAACTCGTAATAGCCACTGGTAGCAACACGATCAAGCCAAGAAATTCCAGCCTAGTTCGGCAAGGGTGGAAACTGAACTCTTAAAGCAGTTAACTCCCTTGCCTCCATCTTCCCGAGGCAAGAGAGTTAACTGACTATAAAAGTCCAGTTTCCACCCTTGCCGAACTAGGCTGGTATTATGGAGTTACATTTTGGCTGGACTGACGAGTCTGGGCATAGTCCAATCAAAATCGCGCACCGAAATCAAAATCCGGTTCGTAAACTGTCATGCAGAGTTCGGTCGATTGCAGGATTTGCACAGCATCTGCACCGCTAACTCGTTGTCAACAGATATTCTCCAAATCGTTTCATCTTTTTAATCAAGGTGCTCACGTGATTTGATGCACTTCGCGATGTAAGCCCCTTTTTATCACAATATAGATCTTGATGGTCGATGAGATCGTCTTGACTGGACACGCCATTGTGTTTGAAGAAAATGCAAGTGATACGAGAGGTGGAATCTGATTGGTCTGTAGGAGAGGTATAGAAGGGATATAACTCGTAACAGCCACTGATGGAGCTACGATCAAGCCCAGTAATTCCAGCCTAGTTCGGCAAGGGTGGAAACGGGACTTTTATAGTCGGTTAACTCCCTTGCCTCTGGAAGATCAGGTACATATCACTGAGACAGGTGAGAAAAGAATTCAAGAAATTGTAAAAGAAAGGGACAAATTGTCATCAACTACATATGATAATACAATGTTCAAAATAAATTATATGGAAATAACTGAAATCCATTTTTATATTTGTTTGGGTTACTTGGTGCATGGTATATAAAAAGACTTTATGACGAATGGTGGATATTTGTTGCCAATTACTACCTTGATTGTATTTCAATTTTGATAAATAAAGGATAGATATTATCTATGTATTTCTTAAATATTAAATATTAGAAAATCATTAAAAAAATTCAGACACAAAATACCCTATAAAACTACCCATGAATATGTAATTAAACTGATACATATATAATATATAAGGTTTAAATACTTAATTATTGGTGCTACAATTTTTCATTTAAAACAATATATTCATACTAATTTTCAATCTCTATTATGATTGTGACCACAGTGCCAACATCAAGTTTGCTTTGACAATGATCAGATGATTGTAATAGATAAAGTTAATTCGTAATTTCATCAGACCTTGCTTTTTTATGTTTCCTTATTCTAAACTGATGTTTCAAATTCCCATACAAACAAAGTTATAGCATCATTCTTCTTTCTCTTTACATCAATACATTGCACAATGATTTGATATTTGATATCTTTGTTTACTTGTGCATGTGTATAGTATTAGATTACACGTGCATGACTTTTTAGCTGTCATTATATATGAAATAATCTTTTATCTGTAAAAACAAATAACATAGATAAATGCATGTGGACATAGCTACATGAAATGATGATGGGGTTAAATTTGCATTGGGCTTAATACTATAGGTGTCTTGAAGTACTTTTGAATGAAAATCGGGATATGTGGCAATAGCAGGATAGTGTGTGGGTTGTAAGGGAGATAACTTGTCAACATAATATATGTCAACAAGAAGACATAGCTATTGTTGACATCTATTTATGTATCTTACACATATTGTGGGGTAGTCAGTATGATTTGTTGCTTGTTGGGACAAATCTCTGTATTCTAAAAGAATGAGTATCAGAATTTTGTAAGAAATGGATCAATAAATTAACACCTGTTATCACCCAAAGCTTTGGTTTTGGTTTGGTTTGTTGTTTAACGCCGCACTCAGCAATATCCAGCTCTATGACGGCGGTCTGTAAATAATCGAGTCTGGACCAGACAATCCAGTGATTAATATCATGAGCAACAATCCATGCAATTGGGATTGATGACGTGCATCAACTTAGTCAGCGATCCGGACCACCCGATCCCGTTAGTCGCCTTTTACGACAAGCATAGTCGCCTTTTACGACAAGCATAGTCGCCTTTTACGGCAAGCATGGGTTGCTGAAGACCTATTCTACCCCGGAATCTTCACGGGTCATCACCCAAAGCACTAAATCATCAGACAGAATTTATAAGGGGCAGCATAATCTGGGTATTTTTTTTATTTCAAAATGGTATGTCTGTTGAAAATGACAAACATTGGTTGTTGGATGCATTGTAGATTTCCATTTAGCATATTTCTAAAATAAATATTGTCAGAATTTTTAAAAATTGAAATCAGATGTAAGGGGAAACGTTGGCATTAAGTAAATTTGAAATCGTTTGTTTTTTTCTTAATGTTATTTCTTTATCAATTATTACTAAAGGCACGGATGCAATAAATCTAATTATAGACCCTTGGTAAAGACCAGCCAAAAATGACCGTGAGCTGCAAATGTAGGCTTATGTCGCGGTGTATCTCCAGTTTTGTTACACTGAAATTCGAAGACCCGGGTTCGATTCCCCACATGGGTACATTGTGTGAAGCCCATTTCTGGTGTCCCCCGCCGTGATATTGCTGGATTATAGCTTAAAGCGGCGTAAAACCATACTCACTCATGGTAGATCTAGTATGAAAAGTAGTTTAACTTCTTTCAGTTGCATTTAGAAGTTGGTGTGATGAAGAAAGTTCTATGGATGAACAACTAGTTGTTATGTTTGAATGCTGCAATAGACAAGGATCTAACACAAAGGCTAATAAATAAAATGAGTTTGTATTATTTCAACGATGCAATGTTATCCAGACAAACCGAGTGCCTCGCTGTTTTCTGACGTAGAAAATGCCGTGGCAATATACCGTTTTTTATGGCCTATTCCCCGCTATCATTATATCTTCCATCGTGTCAATTCGTGTATTAGTTGAAGACTGAACCAATATTGATATTCTAAACTAATAACCACTACAAAATATGGGCTAGTTAAAAAGATTCAGTTGTAAATGACCAATTTCGAATGAAGGTGAAACAGAGTAACGTTTTAGCTTGGCTCCGTCTATACATGTCACTAGTTGTCGCAGCGCATATTGATCCAGGAACCAGCCTGGAAACGACAAGTTGGACCGTCGCTTACATCATTTCAAAAGGAGAATTATTGCCCTTTGGAACAAAAAGCAATCTCACGTTCGGCTATTTCCGTCAAGCCTGGGCGAGCAGAGCCGAGTAAACTCGGTGGTTATCCGCTTACAAAAAAAAGCTCAAGGACAGTCTAAAGTCCCGTCCCTTTAAAAACACACAGGACCGTCGACATACTGCCCCATTAAACTGTTTGATAACACTTGTGTATTTGGGCCACTAGCGGGTGGTATATGTTATGGATGATCAAAATAATTTCGAAATCCTAGGGCAAAATAATGAATGCAGGAGGCCGAGATTGGGATCTAAAACACAGTGTCAAGGTAACAACATAATATGATAACAACGTCGAGGATGATAACGCAGTGAAACTGTTCCCGATTCTTAAACAATTTCAAGTTGTAATGAAATATTGCAAATGATATTTCATCGGACACATTACCCTGAAAAACTCCCTTCTATGGTTGTATTAAACATCCCTGCTTATTGACATTATTCGTAAACATGCTAGACCTTGAGCTACCTTCTCACACTTGTCCTGGAACGACAATTGGGGGTGTCGCGTCAGTGTAGATCTGTCCCTATCCCAGACCAACCTCAACGCTAGCTGTTATCGAGAGGTATTCCTGTTGCATACGCGCGTATAGTTCTACTAGACTGCACATAAGCTTAACGCGCGACAAAATTACATATGTGGCTAATAACAAATACCATTCAAAATTTTTAAAAATTCATACGTTTTTGTCTGAATAAAAATGGAAAGCGAACAGTATTCCGGGGAACATTTTTTTCGTAACAAATAAATTGAAGTAAAGGAATGTTTTACACTGTAAGCATCAATATATGGACTTAAATAATGTTAATGAATGTGCATTTTTTTCAAGATCATTCAATTTCACACATTAAAGCCTTTTTCAAATCTGTGCTGTTTGAAAGATACAGATTGACACCATCCGTCTCTTTGACCCCATGGTACTGTATCACCAAACACAACCAAACCAACATACAATGTTTGTATACTTCCTTTGACTGGAGGGGCGGTCGGGTAGCCTAGTGGTTAAAGCGTTCGCTCGTCACGCCGAAGACCCGGGTTCGATTCCCGACATGGGTACAATGTGTGAAGCCCATTTCTGGTGTCCCCCGCCGTCATATTGCTGGAATATTGCTAAAAGCGGCGTAAAACCATACTCACTCACTCCTTTGACTAGATACTAAAACGTTTAACAACATACATACATGCACGCACGCTCACCTACATTACATTACACACACACGCACGCACACGGAATTTCACAAATTTAGCTGCACGGACGGGGCTCAAATACAAACTATCTCATCAGAAGCCATGTGAATATCTTGATGATCTATATTTCGTTTTTTCTAAAGACAAACGTTGCTACCAAAAGTGGTAAGTCATCAGAGAGAATACAGACATATTATCATCCTTCCTTGTCGAAATCTCATAGGAACATATAGGAAATAGCATTCCATACATTGCTGATTGTGTCAAACGACCTTGGAACTTGACATTGTGAATAATTAAAATAACAATCAATGTCTGTATAACGAGCTCTTTTCGACTAACATCCTGTTTTGGGTACCATTAACAGTGGCTTCCAGTATACTTGTCCAGCAGCTGGCCAAGGATAATTCCCATCGTGTTTAAGCAACGGACATCCGTACAACCAACTTCCGTTAACTTCAAAATAAATAATACACTGATAAAAAGAATGAGCAGTTTTAAATATTGTCTTATCTGTCCAATTTCACATTTAACATTCACATTTACATTCATCATAGTCAAGATGTTTGTTTGTTGGTTGGTTGGTTTAAACATATTTATTTTCACAAAAATGTGAAAATGGATTGGTAAACAAGCGAAGCGCTTATGTCAATACCGCTCCATTACATAGAAGACAAAGTACAATAAATACATCAATGAAGGTTAGATGTAACAAATGAATTGTACATGACAAGCTAGATGTGTTTATATAATATATATATTTGAAGATTATGTTAAGCAATTCATTTAACTGAAAATCTGCCAGTTTTTTACATGTTTACGTGTTTGGATTTGCTCTTCCTTACACAAAGACGAATTTCCGCATAGCACTGTTTGTAAAGAATAACCATGTTGGTAAAAATACATTTCATTTCGAAGAACATAGTAATTTGTACAAACGAAAAATAAATGTTAAGATTTTCTTTTGTTAATTAATCAATTATTTTTTCAAAAATTATTAAATCTATTTATGATTAATTTCATTGTGTAATAAGAAAACAAATGCCAAATAAATGACTTTTCATGTGAATAAAATCCAGAGGCCAAATATCAGAACCAATGACAGACCCTTTTTACGGATGCTGGGCGTTCAATAATTCCGCTAAACCCCCATTTCACAAAAGCCGTCATATAGCTGGAATATTGCTGAGTGCGGCGTTAAACAACAAACCAACAACCAACCAACCATTTCACAATGGGAGAAAACGGGGCATAATCGTCGACATTTGCTTCATCAAATTTGCTAAAATAAAGATGCTAACGGTATTTCATTGAGGTGGTCGTTTAATTCCATGTGATATGGATACGATTTCGTGACAACAGTGAGCTGACACGAAATATCATACACATATCATTGTTGAAAATGTGGTGTGTGTCGTTGTTTACATTTCACCGATGTGACGACCACTTTCGAGTCTCGAAACAGCTTAAAGAATGTTTTCCTTCCGTAAAAGTAACAATGGACGTATTCTCGTGACGTATACATTGCAAGAGTATTCATGAAAATGCTAATAATTTTTTTTAACCTGTTCTAGCGTTTTTCCAAAGTCATCTGTTCGGTCATCTGTAGTTTTAGTGGCCTGGTATCGTTGCTGGAGCCTGCATATGGTCCTTACGTGGACTTGAAATGCATTGGCGACTTGCCGGGCGGTTTGTCCAGCTTGCAAACGTCCAAGGGCTTGGTGTCGCCGATTTATTTCAATCTTGGCATGTGGTAGCAATTCAATAACGAATGAATGTTATCCGATCTGGATGGATTTTTATAAGGAAAGAAATGGGGGAACGCGTGCGCAAATTGCACGGAACTCACGTGCATCGGGTTACCATGGCCGTTGCCGTGATGCGTTTGGGCGATCGGTTTTATTGTCATCTGCTTTGTTTGTTTAATCATCAAATTTCATTTTTCCGGACAAGGTAATGTTAAATTTTAGAAACTGACAAAAATTACCCAGATATTTAAATGACAACTTTTCATGCAATGTTACTTGGGTGACGTTTCTTTTGCGGTTCAGTATATATCTATCATACTGATCTGCGTTAAGATCGCTGCAGCCAAGCCTGAGGTGACTGTGAATAATTTGACAAAATCTGTTTGTTTGTTGTTTAATGCCTCACTCAGCAATATTCCAGCTATATGACGGTGGTCTGTAATTTGTGTAAATAATCGTGCCTGGACCAGATAATCCAGTGATTGATATCATGAGCATCGATCAACGCAATTGAGATCAATGACATGCGTCAACCATGTCAGAGAGTCTGACCAGCCGATCCCGTTAGTGGCCTCTTACCACAAGCAAAGTCGCCTTTTACGGCAAGCATGGGTTGCTGAAGACCTATTCTACCCCGGATCTTCACTGCAGTGAATATAACAGTTTGACGAACTATTGTCTTACAACAGTTACCTCTCTGCAAATTGTCTCCCTTTGTCATAAGTATCCGGCCAGTACAGAAACTGTTGACTTCATTTATAGGTTAGTTCTACATTTACAAGGCAAAATAATGACAGATGTTATTTATTCTCTTGAACATGTTTCGTTATAAACCGAAATTTCTCTTTTAACCCGTCAATCGAGACTGTTCTTTTTGCGAAGCGCCATTTTTGTCACTTGACCAGTGTGTATTCTTTTGCTTCCAACAGCGGTCTCGAAGACTTCAAGAATGTTTGGTTGAAGTTGCTTTAGTATATAATCATATCCAAATGTAGGATAAAGAATTTGATTGACCTCTTATGACCTCAAATATTTCTTGTTACTTTCGTTTATATGTTTTAATATTTTACAAACACGGAACTTCTTTTAAAGTCGCAAAATTTTCATGGGGTGGCTACTACAGGTTTGGAGAAGTTACGTTTTGAGGTTTTACATTTGTAGTGAAATAATTTAACTTTCCGATAGACAACTACACAAAAAGCACATAATATGATAAATAGTATATTCCATGTGAATTATCACGTTTCTCTCATCTCGTGATGGGGAAAGAAGATATTTCACTTGGCACATGAAAAATCCTGTTTATTATATACCCGGTACTTCAGTGTGAAAGACTGACTGGTGAAACGTGATATTTTCATTGCAGTGAAAATAACACTTGATATTTCATTGCTCACAATATCAGACCCTAGGTTGATTGTGTCATTGTACCCAACCCTCCTGGATCATTGCTCACAATATCAGACCCTAGGTTGATTGTGTCATCATACACAACCCTCCTGGATCATGGCTCACAATATCAGACCCTAGGTTGATTGTGTCATTGTACCCCACCCTCCTGGATCATGGCTCACAATATCAGACCCTAGGTTGATTGTGTCATTGTACCCAACCCTCCTGGATCATTGCTCACAATACCAGACCCTAGGTTGATTGTGTCATCGTACCCAACCCTCCTTGATCACTGCTCACAATATCAGACCCTTGGTTGATTGTGTCATTGTACCCAACCCTCCTGGATCATGGCTCACAATATCAGACCCTTGGTTGATTGTGTCATTGTACCCAACCCTCCTGGATCATTGCTCACAATGTCAGACCCTAGGTTGATTTTGTCATCGTACCCAACCCTCCTTGATCACTGCTCACAATATCAGACCCTTGGTTGATTGTGTCATTGTACCCAACCCTCCTGGATCATTGCTCACAATATCAGACCCTTGGTGGATTGTGTCATCGTACCCAACCCTCCTTGATCACTGCTCATAATATCAGACCCTTGGTTGATTGTGTCATTGTACCCAACCCTCCTGGATCATGGCTCACAATATCAGACCCTTGGTTGATTGTGTCATTGAACCCAACCCTCCTGGATCATGGCTCACAATATCAGACCCTTGGTTGATTGTGTCATTGTACCCCACCCTCCTGGATCATGGCTCACAATATCAGACCCTAGGTTGATTGTGTCTTTGTACCCCACCCTCCTGGATCATGGCTCACAATATCAGACCCTAGGTTGATTGTGTCATTGTACCCCACCCTCCTGGATCATGGCTCACAATATCAGACCCTTGGTGGATTGTGTCATCGTACCAAACCCTCCTTGATCACTGCTCATAATATCAGACCCTAGGTTGATTGTGTCATTGTACCCCACCCTCCTTGATCACTGCTCATAATATCAGACCCTTGGTTGATTGTGCCATTGTACCCAACCCTCCTGGATCATGGCTTACAATATCAGACCCTTGGTTGATTGTGCCATTGTACCCAACCCTCCTTGATCATGGCTCACAATATCAGACCCTTGGTTGATTGTGCCATCATACCCAACCCTCCTTGATCATTGCTCATAATATCAGACCCTAGGTGGATTGTGTCATTGTACACCACCCTCCTTGATCATTGCTCACAATATCAGACCCTT